AAAGAGTAAGAAAACGACGATTTCTTGCATCGATGAGAGAAAGAGAACGAAGACATCGTAGAGTTGAAAAGTAATGCGGATGTGCTCGTTCGGATTACGTTTCTCTACGGTCCGAGTTTTAACTTCCTGCAGTTTCCTCGAGTCGTGTGTCTCTCTCTCCCTCCATTCGTCGCCGGAAAACTCGCTCTGCCTATATTTCCCTTCCTCCTGTCCTTCAACCGCTAATTTAAGTGGCTCTAAATTCGTTGTTAGACCGTTGAACGAAGAATAAAAAAGGAACGAGGTATATGTAGGAGAGAAGAAGAAAAAGAGGATGATGTTTCTTCGTCCCCCCTTCCTCTCTCCCGCCCATTCGTTCGTTCTCCGCTTCTTGCTCGCTCCCATTCGTTCATTGCCAAATATAAACCCAACCAGTGTCGAAGCTTTGGGGAAAAAGGATCGTTGAAAGTGGAGCAAAAAGTGGAGAGCAGTGACAGCAACTCCATCGCTATTCGACTATCTTTAGATCGCTCGATTTTAGAGGGGAATCCCGACGTTGCGACCGATTGAAGAACCACCATATTTAAACATGATTACATACATGATTACATACATGATTAAATTGTTTTTGGGACAATATTTTTTCGAGCAATATTTTTAAACGATTATTCGATCATCGATGGAAACGAGTCACGGTTGGTCGGCAACTAATCGATATAAACGAAGAGGAAATCGAATGAAAATCAGATATAATTGGAAACGAAACGAATAACAGGGCGAACTGCTTGCTCTGCTAACTAAAGTGTTGCACGGGAACAGGCGTCGGCTGTTTAATTAACGGGAAGCAAATGTGCTTCCGGCACATGCTTGAATAATCGTTTAATTATTTATTCCATGTACAGCTTGTACAGCTTGGATTTGAAAGGAGAAATGAATCATTGGACATTGTCGCGTCTCGTTTCTGTAAAATCCCGTTAATACTTATGAACCGATTCGGCCAACAAGAATGACGCAAATAGATAATGGTCTTATTTAATCCTATAATATTCCAGAAATAAATATCCTACTTTTTGCCCATGAAACGTATAATTGTATATATTAGAGCCAGTTGGAAAATGAAATAACCGATTATTCGCCACTTGATATATTGATGGTTGAGTAGCGATATTCACGAGCGGTTCGTACTATATACAGCTGCCACCTGCCGCAACACCATATGTTCCTATTATTAGCCGTTCGCCACTCTTTATGGCGAGCGCGTGTCATTTTTATTATTTCCTCGTCGAAATACGTTCTATTTTTACTCACCGATAGGATCGAAAATTTCGTTCCGTGAAACAACGTTAACGACACGTCCCTGTTTTCTACTCTACCGACCGATTCGTATTTCCCATCGAACTCCAGGCGAGCTCATAATCGACTTGCCTCGTTCAGGTAAAAAAAAAAAAAGGCGTTTCAAAAACGGACGATTTAACGAACTTCGATTTTACGATTTGATCGTTACAACGAATTTTCTTGTACGATTAATTAACCCTCGATTCGTTTAGAGGCGTGCAAATGTTAGTTTTTTTTTTTTTTTATTAGAAGAATACAAATCGATTTTATTATTCGGTTAATTGGAGAAAATCTTCAAAGGGAGTATCGATATCTCTCGTCTTTAAATTGTTCGTCGTATCCTTAGATTCTTCGAAAGAGGAATCATTTTGAAATTTAAATCGTTTAAATCAACAATTAAAATGAGATATACGGGTCGTATATTTTATCGCTTTGCTCCAGTTTACACCTGTCCGGTATATTACGATACACCGGTGTCGTGCATCATCCGTAACGCGCTCTGCGATTCCAATTTATAATATAATAAATTTTACGCAGCGAGTTTGCGAACCGAGTGAAAATTTTCTGCCTCTCGCCTCGGAAAAGGGAATGAAAAGTTTATCAAACTTCGTTCGATTTACGCACGATATAAATCATCCAAGTTATTTAACGAGTTATATCGATTTTGATATCTTTTCACAATGCGCGATAATCCAGTCGCTCGATTAATTTCATTTTTAAGAAGTCGAGCAGAAGAATAATTATTTCAAAATTAAATACATTGAAGATATCCTTGGGAGCGAATAACGCAGAAACGGTTATAACGGTTATGTAACGGAGGAACAATACGAGAAACAAGCGAAGGCGTAGATCGCATTGGAAATCGGTGTTCGATAATCGATATTTCGTGTGACGCGTTGTGATAACGTTGATATTTCGGCAACACATGCCACCGGCTTGCGCCGCCATGTGTTCGATGCAACGGTACGTTGTTACATTAACGTATGCCTCCCGCTACACGGTCTACACGTGTTCGTATTTCATCAACTGCGTAAATATTTCCACGACTTTTATGCGCTTCTATTTTTCGCTTAAAAAGAGAATGATATTAGCAAAAAAAAAAATTAAATCTCACAGTATAGTTCGTCGAAGTTCGTCAAAGTTTACTTATTAAGTTCAAATAATAACAATGATTATTATAGAGAGAAGAAAATATTTGCTTATACCGGTACATCGTCGTGCAAATACCAAGTATTCACGAGCAACGATTCGATAATATTTCGATGTGCGACGTCCGTAAGTAAACTATCGATATTTCTACCAATTGTCCATCACGAACGTTCCGGATGGTGTACACATCGTTCATTTTGACGTATGGATATATTCCAACTTGAATTTCTCTACGGTATGGAAGCTGTTCAAATTCTTATCGAATTAGCGACAGAACGAAAGATAGTTACGCAAATACGCGTTTCTTTCTTGCCGATATATTTGCCCCTACGTTTTCTTTTCTCTTTCGTTCCAATTTGCAAGTATAATTTTACAAAGCTAATATTTCGCAATGTAGAACGTGGTGGAATAGTGGCGGAGAGAAGGAAAGTGGTGGGGGCAATAGGGCGATTGCCGCGCTAACCGACACAACAGCGTTCTGACCTTTTCAAAGAACGTATCCTGTAAAGTTCTATCGCCTCGTTGAGAACGACTCGAGGAATATTCGCGAATGGTCGATCTCCAATTTGCTTGTGGTGGAAGCGTATACAGTGGTTCTCGCGTTATAGTTTCTGCTAGGTGGCGAAATTAATTGGAATTAGCAGGTCGGAAAATGAAAATTTACGATTATAACCGCGTAATGTTACGATATTGCTTTTGAATGGATTATTTACGACGCCGGTCCTGTTAATTTTTTTCATTGAAATTTATCATTTAATCCCTGGTAAAATAATTATTCGAAATTTTAATTCGAATAATCGTCACGGAAAGTGGATAATTTTGTTAATAAATGAAGATAATTTTTACGTACAGCACACTCTCGTATATAGCCATTCAGATAATAATTGTGGAATATTTATATTATAAATAGTATCAACGTTAATTCTGTACGCTTAACGCGATAATTTAAAGTTTTAATCCTTCATGGAAGTATACCATCCGCATTAAAACGATAAAATCCGCGTTTGTATAATTTAATTATCTATCTCGATTAATCGACGATATTTATGTAATCATATTTACACTTCTCTTCCTTTTATAATCCGCGAAGCCGTTCCATAGTTCTGGTTTCACGAACACCGAAGCAGAATCGTCGAAGACACTTGGATTTCCCGCAATACGAGCATTTCTTCGGTCGATCCCCTTCCGGTCAAACGATCGATCGTTCACCGGTGAAACCGACTTTTTATTTACGTAATTTAACAGTCGAAGCAGGAACGATGAAACAGGACGCTAGACAGTGCGTAACGCTATCCCATGCATAATCGTCGGAAATTTATACCTGATTACATAGTTGAATAAGAGTTGTGCAATTGCCGCGTGAATTACGCCCATCCCGAATTTCTTTTAGTTTCCAATAGAAAAATTTAAATTTGTAAGAGTTCTCTTCAATGAACTTCCCAATGAACTTCAATGAGTGTCGTGTTCATCGAGTAAGAATTTCATTCGAGAAAACGAATATCCGTTTCGAAATAAATTAAATTCCATATAAATAAACGGAACGAAAGGAACGAAAGAAAAGAATCGTGGTTAAAAAGCGGAGTTTCATCGATTTATTTATTTTTTTTTCTCTCTCTCTTTTTTTTCTTTTAATTAGTTACATCATTCGTTTGCATCTGTTGCATCGAATAGTTGGCTATCCTGGTCGGTTCTTTATATAACCGAGACTATTCAAAGTTCCGCAAAAGGGCCGGCACGATAAAGAAGCGTAGAAAGCGAGTGTATAAGAAGTTCCGTGCATCAAAGGTACAGGAGTGGCGCGTATGGTTGGTATAACAATGCCAAATGAAATTCATTAAAAGGCGTGTGTATACGTATAAAAGAGCGTGTACATGGCTCTCTAATAATACTTAAAAAAGAAAAGAGGGGAAAAGGAAAATAATTACTTGGTTCCCGCCGGTGTATAACGTTGAGTTAAAATTTTACGGCTTGTAGACGTGATGTACAGTTAAGTTACGTTATTTATCGCGAAATGACTTACCACGTCATGAATATTCTCCCTCGATGTTGATTGATCAGTGTATTCAAAACTGCGCATATATATGTATATATGTATATATATATATATATATATATATATATATATATTATATATATACACGACTACTTATTTTAAAACGGTATATATATTGCGTTAAACTTGTTTCGTTAATTAGTTTCGCGAGTTAAACAAAATGCAAAAAAAAAAATTTTCGCCTCGTCTGCTGCGCAATTTGAAAATTACTCAATTTACGATAATAATTACAATTATAAAATACGTTTTTTTTTTTTTTTTTTTTTTTTTTTACATCTATTATATTCATTTATTTATCGATCGACCTGACTTGAAAAAGCTTTTTTATCGTTCCCATTATCGATCCCAGACAATGAATTGCGAAAATTCGATTTTAAACTGCGAAAAAGCACAGAGAGAGAGAGAGAGAGAGAGAGAGAGAGAGAGAGAGAGCGAAAGGGAGAAACAGAGAGGCGAGTATCGAACTGGGCTGTCGTGATTACAGACCCCGAGGGAGGACAGGGCAGCGTCGAGTCCTGGTAATCAGAATAATCACACACCCACACCATCCCCGTCACCGGTCGGCGATGCACCCGTTGGCAGGGCTCTTATGGAGGCTGCGCTTCAGCAAGCCACTTCCGGATCTCAGCCACCTCTGGTGGTGACACCGCCTGGTTACTGGGTCGACGGTACCGATCATCGACACGCCCTGGACTCGGCTGGCAGGGCGTTACTTCCGGCCCAGCCTGCATGGCAACCGAGGATAGACCAAGACGACACGGCCAAGTGTTACAGGCGATTTTTCGTCGGCAGGGTAACGTATATATATATATATATATATTACTTCTATAATTCTAAACCGGTTATTTATTTCCGGTTCGTTATTTCCTTTTCGTCAATTTCGTTCGTGGTCGAAGAGAAGAAGAGGGAACGAGAAAGACGAGAAATTATCCACATACACACGGGGCGAATTCGTATACGTATAGGTTTCAGCAACGGGGAAAGATACAATGGGATTAAGTTTGCTAAAACTTTGTCAAAAGGTTTCTCGTTTGAAGTATGGGAGGGAGGGGAGAGGGAAAAAAATGTATCGCGTTTTTTCTCCGCGAGTAAGTAGTAGTAGTAGTTAATTCGACGATGCGTCGATCGATAGCAAGGTCAGTTGTTAGATGCTTGGACGTCTCATTATGTCTGCATTACCGAAATACTACCCGTTCAATCCACTTACGGTAAATTGTAATCTTCAATAAATATTACGTAAACATTGTCCGTGCTCGCCTCGTATTTTTCCGTGAAAAATTTCTCGCGTCACGTAACCTACGAAAGGATTCGTAATTGTATCGTTTCGCGTTGTGTACATTGTTGTTACGCTTTTCTAGTAAAAAAAATTAAAGCGAATTCTCTTACAAAGTGAATTCGTATCTTTCAATTATGGAGAGTTAGTTCTCTCTCCATTCTGATTTTACAAAATTGTAATAACTTTGAAAATTGTTCGTTAATTAAACAACGCGACACGAGAATAATGTAAAGTTCAGACTTCCGTAAACCGTGTTTCGCATATAAATTCAGTATATCGGTTATCGATCGGTTGCTTGTGGTAAAGTGTTTGGTCGTGTATATCGAAGACATACCGATTTTCTTCAAGATTCGTATCGCGAATAAAATTATTTAAAATATTATCCAACGTAATTTTATTATAAACAATTTTGTAAATATCGAAAATATATATATATGATAAAAAATATATGTAATTTGCGATTACACAGTAAAGAACGATTAACGCGATAGTAAATTATTACTTACTCTATAGTAACTGTTAAAACTGTAAATCCGTGGTAATTGACCGATGTTGAAGGAAGGAATTATAAGATTATAATCCACCTTGAGCCGATTAGTCTCTCTATTCGCTCTCGAAGAAACAACACGTGTGCAGTTTGAAATAGTAAACGCATGATGATGATTGTGAACACCACTGTCCGTATCCTTTGGTTAATTACCTCATTGCGGCCGAGTTGCAATTTATGAATAAAGATGCTCTTTCTACGTGAACATTGTTCGTGGAACAATGTAGTTTGATTAAAGGAACGAGCTTTAATCGTTAGTAAAAAATGCATATCCAACGGGAAAAATCGAGGCGATAAAATCGTTTATTATTAAGTCTGAAACGGATTTTGATGATTTGCTTCGCGCACGATACGTCGAAATATGTTAAATAAATATGTGTCGAGACGTATTCTCGAGACGTATTCTCGAAACGCGATCCGATTAAAAAATTGTAAAATCTGAAATTTGAAATTCAATGAGTCACGCGCTAATACCGTTCGAGATGACATTACGCGATGACATTTTTATCGAAAACAATCGATAGATATACAGTGTCTTTGAAAGTATCGAAATTATTTCTTTTGTTCCGTTGAATTCTTTTCACAGTTCGTTTAATCGAATTTTTATGCAGTAATTAAGAGATAATTAAGCGAGTTAAAATTATTTTTTTTAAATAATAATTACGCCAAGATGGTGTCAGAACGTATTATTCATTTATTGAAATGAAATCTATTTATACTTGACAAAAATACAGATGTTAAAGATAAAAACGGAGAAAATAATAACGGTGATCGTTAGGATCCGAGTTTATTATTACAAAACTCAAATTTATCTTTATTGGCTGAAGCACACCGTTAATGGGCAAGATACGCATGCGTACTAGAAACCATGATGTCTTTTCGAAGGAATACACAAGAGATGATCGTGGAATAAATTTACTTTTCTAGACCAAGATAAAAGATCGCGCTATTTAATCGCGTGTTACAATCGTATCCAACGACCCAAGCAGAAATAACCGCATTGGTTACTTGGTAATCAGGCTGTGCGCATTGCATATATACGTTTCGCATATATCGTTGTACGCACGTAGAAGTGACCAAGGTGGATGGAGAAGGAAGACGAGGTGCGGGTCAGAGAGAAAAGGAATGGAGGGGAGGCGCAGGAAAAGGAAAGGAGCACTGTTCGGGCGTGGGAGTGGGAACGTTCTCATAGCTACGAGCAATGCTTATAAGAAGAAACTTCTCCTCCTCTCCTCTTCGACATCCCCGATTTTCATTCTTGCTAGCTTTTAAGATGCCTCTGCTTTTCTTCCGTTTGCCCTCGCCATTCCCTCTTCTCTTTCGTTTCTCTTTCTTGGATTATTTAAGGTCGAGATTTAACCGAGATATAACATAGATTTTAATTCCACGCTCAGACTTTGTTTTTAAACATTTTTCAATCGCGCGTTCGTTTTTCATTCCTCTTTGAACGGTTTTCGTTGAAATACGGAGAAAATATCAAAAGGATAAAATATCAAAAGGAATGTGTATATATTCGCTTTCTCTTCGCGTATCAAATGGACCTCCGTGCAACGATCATCTCTGAGAATATCGGAAATCGCGAATAAACGTTTAACAAGATATAACGAGGTACTAATAAATTGTAATTACCCTTCGGAATATTGAGAATTAATTTTTATGAAGATTTATCATCCGAGTTACGAAGAAACACGTTTATTTCGATGATAAAGTAAAATGTGCGTTACCAATGGATACATCGAATTTTTTTATCTTAATTGCGATACTTGTTTGCTAAGTTTTATGAATCGAATGTGTTCGTTTTTATTTCTCTTTTTTTTTTCTCCCCTCCTCGAGTATTCTGTTTTATCGTTATTATCTAAGGATTTTACTCTTTACACATATGTTACAGTATCTCGTTTCGGAAAAACAATCTGTCTTTTAGTTTTTATTTCATTACTTTGTAATTTGTTTTCATTCATATCTCTATAATCTCTATGGCACAAGTAAAGTTTTATGAGATTTCTATGCAATTTAAATTTCTTGAATATTCTTTCCTACAAGCACAATTACAGTTACAAATTGCTTGAGTGGATATAAATGCAATTTTATTCCTGTTAGGCCGTTAACTGGGAAAGACGAGTTTATCCGTTTAACGGATTGCCGACGCTTTAAACATGTTCATTTATTTCCTCCATTTTCTCTTTTTTAATTTATCGTTACGTGCGTAAAGATGGACAGTGTTTTCTTTTTTTTAAAACAAAGTTAGTATATTTATAAATTTTACAAATAACGAAGAGAAAAAGTTTCGTGACTATTAACAAAATTTTATGTAGCTACGAAGAAGAAGGAATTCATGAAAAAAAAAAAAAATACGAAGCGCTTTCAAGAATTACTTTAAAAACTTTCTTTTCAATTAACCGAGATTATTTTTTGTCTGTTTACCGATTTAACCAGCACGATATGCGTATCATCCAGTTTAATTACATTTAATTAAAAATTGTTTCCCAATTAAATACGTTGTTTCGAATCCAATTTTTTTGACTAAAATCTTTTCATTGATATTTTTCCATTAAATTTCCACTTTCAACCATGTTCAATTACACGATGTACGTATATATATATGTAATAAACAAGTTGATAAAATAAAATAAAAGACGGATGTCAAGAGAATTCGATCGACTATTAAATTAAATCGTGCAAAAAAGAAAAATGCGCATCGATTATTATCATGGTCGTAGATAACGTTATCGGTAATTCTACGCTTATGAATAAAATATCGTTTTTCACGAGTGTTTAATTATAGTTAAATATAACTCGACCTTTCCGAAGTTAGTGCATTTTAATTGTTACTCTCTTGATGATGTCTCTGCAATAAGCAATTTACGATTATTTTCATCATTCGTATATTACAAACAACTCGCACGGTAAACAAAATTCATAGATAATTACGCGTTTTATATCATCGTTACGTGTATTTTTTTTTTCTTTTTTTTCTTTTTAATATATATTTTTTTGTAACTGAAACTTGACTGATCTCGCGATTGATTACACACGAAGAAATTTCTTTCCTCGCTCCGAATTATCTTATTCGAATATAACTAAAATATAACTACAAAGAATATTCGATTTCTCCTCAAAAGAAAGAATATTTCTCTTCTCGTATATAAAGTTTCGTTGAAAATTTTCATTTTCAAATTATCAAAATATTGTTCGAATCTCTTTCAACCACTTCGGCATTATTATCATTATCATCATTCATTCTTATCCTCATTCGCACCCGGTTCATTCGAAACACGTACACGCTTTTCGAGGAAGCTCTCTCGCAGGAAAAAGGGAAAAAGGAGACGACGACGACGAATCGATCGCGACTCGTTCGACCTTTCGCGCGCACCCTTTCGAAAATGTTGCGCCTTTCACCACTCATGGGGCTCGAGGGGCGATCGAAGTCGGTCGTAGCGGCCTCAACGGAGGCCTCGATCGTAAAAAAATGGGCCCGGTATTGAACGAAACGAATTTTCATTTGCAGGAGCACGTGAACCTGGTCGGAAGGGACGGAGAGAACGGGCCGGTCCTCGTCTCGGTGAAGGCCGAGACGGTCGCTGGACAGGAGCATTGGAGGGTATTGTTGCGGTTGCGGGCTGGCTCCACCCACGAATTGGTACCGGCCGCGAACCTCGGCCCGAATCCGTCACCCGCGAAAATGGTCAAGGTGAAGCGTCCGAACTTTTTTCTTTTTTTTCCAAAATATTTCATCGAAAAATTTCAACATCCCTTTTTTTATTCCTTCTATTGTAACCTCTGTTTCATATCATTTGATCAATTCGCATCGTCGATTCTAAGATCGTTTATCTTGATAATTTATCACGACTCGTGTCTGGGCGTTTTAATTAATAACCTTTCTTTAATTGTCCTTAATTCGAGCCCATAAAGTAACGAGTTTCTCGAGTCTCTCTCTTTCTTCCTACTGATCAAAATAAACGTTTTGAACTATACGTCGATAAATATTAAATATAAATTATTATTAAATATATTATTAAATATATTTATTAAATATAATTATTTAATAATAATTATTAAATATAAATTATTAAATATTAAATATAAATATTAAAAATATTTTCAATGTTTAACACGTTGACTGCCACGCGTGCCGCTGTATCAAGTGCACTCCAGTACTTCTATTTAGATATTTTAGTAATGCGAGTCTGATGGCCGCAAGAGTGATGTCTCGCATCATTTATTTCCATCACTACTGTCTGCAATAAAAGTATTGATAATAGTATTGAATAGTAATACTGATTTAATATATTTTGGATATTTTAATTTGGATAATTTGGATAATATGACAATGCCCTTCGACTAGTCGTAACAAATGTACTTCTTAGTTGCGAATTGTATATAAATTATTCGCGTGGCTTGTCTATTAGAAACCAGTGTCACAGTAGGTAATCGTGTCCGATGCTCAGAGCACGATGTGTTCATAAAACTATCTAATTGTCGTATCACCATGAGACTCGTGATATTCCAAAATTAGAAGATTTGGAGAATTATTAGCTGCAAAATTATTAGGATTATCTGAAAATACAAGAAAATCTTATCAAAATTTTCGACGGAGTCAACATAATATCGTCGTTCGAAAAAATAATTCTAGTATAAGGAATTTAAAAAAGACGACAACTTTCTGTCCAAATTGTCAACCTCAGTTTTGTGTAAAAATGTTTTAAAATTTTACATTCAAAATAATTTTTTTGATAAATTATTTTTTATTATTTTTATAACAATTTAATAATTTTATTACACCCTGCAGAATATTTTTCCAAATACGAAGATCGTTCATAAATAATCAAATAAATATCAGTCAACGTGTTAAATGATCTCGTATTATTTATACTTAAACTTAAATTATTGGATTATTTTCAAAAGTGTTGAGATTCGTGAATTTAATCGATTCGATTCGTTCTATTAATTTTAATAATCAACAAACTTAAGTTTTCATGGAAAAGAAAAAAAGATTGAATTTTAATAGCAACTGATTCATCCTTACTTATATTCGAATTTATTCTCATTATCCTCGCAATTTCGATCATTTTCTTTCACAGGCCATCAACGAATCGCTGAACGTGAGCACTCTGATGCCCGTTGTCTGTTCCGGTGCCGGCACACTGATAGCCCGATACGACGAGCACGCCTTGGTTTCGAGGTTTAAATTCGGCGTACTTCATCAACGCGCCGGCCAGGTGACCGAAGAGCAACTTTTTGGCAACAGGCAGATCACGCCTGCTTTCCAAGAATTTCTCGACCTGCTCGGGCAAAAGATCGATTTAAGGGATCACAAAGGGTTAGTATATATATATACACGCAAATTTATGGAATTTATTGTGAAAATAATTTTTGCTGAATTTTTTCAACAAAAAATAGATATCGCGGAGGTTTGGACACTAGACACGGGCAAACGGGTGATTCGGCGGTGTACGAGGTATTTCGAGGCCGAGAAGTGTTGTTCCACGTCGCCTCCCTTTTGCCGTACAGTCCAGGGGACTCGCAGCAATTACAGCGAAAAAGACACATCGGGAACGACATCGTCGCGATAATATTCCAAGAGGAGCCAACCCCTTTCAGTCCAGATATGATCGCGAGCCACTTCTTGCATGCATTCATCGTGGTACAAGTCGTCGACCCCTGCACACCTAATACGAGGTATATTCTTAGATATTCGTATATGTTCGTGTCTGCGTAAGTGAGGTTATGTGTAAAATTCTCGCGGATGCGTCAGTTACGAAATCGATAAATTCTTCACGAAATATCCAAATATTTCAATAAAAATCTTACATTTATATTTATGTTATTTTATTATATATTATTATTATTATTATTATATTATATTTATATCTTATATTTTCGTTCGATCGATCGTAAATAATTTTTCTTTTTTTTCTACGTAACATTTTCATCGGTATTTATATAGATATTTATATAGAGATTCGTGTTCTGTAGGTACAAGGTCAGTGTAACGGCACGAAACGACGTTCCACTGTTTGGTCCTGCTTTACCGACTCCGGCTGTATTTTTACGAGGAATTGAATTCAAGGAATTCCTCTTGACGAAATTAGTGAACGCTGAGAATGCGGCGTATAAAGCTGAGAAATTTTCGAAGCTCGAGGTATTATTTAATTATTTGCATTATTACGGTAACGATAAATTATATAAAAAAAAATATATATATATTTAAATATCAATTATTTTTTAAACGTTGAAATAGCTAAGAACGAGGTCAGCTTTATTGGAATCTCTGACGGAAGAATTGCAAGCAAAGACGGCGGAATTTCTCGGTGGAGCAATTGGATTCGGAGGCAGCGGTCTAACTTTCGGTGGGAATTGTCCGGTAAGCCCAACGGGGAACGACGCATCGGGATCCGGTAGCAGTGGAAGTGGGTCCAGATTTATCGACACCGTGCGAAAAGCTTTGATATCGCGCGTTAGAAACGCGTCGACGGAAAGCGTGCCCCAACAGTTGTCGAAAAAGGGCCAGTCGGAGTCTAGTCCACCTAGCAATCGACAATCCACCACGAAAATTAATAGCAAACGTTCGGTGGAGCCCTCGAGTCCCTTGGGCTCGCCTGATTTAACCCTTAGAAGAGATTCTGAGCGTGGAAGTCCCAGCTTGGGCAGTCAGGACAGTAGTTTGTCGAACACGGATAATCAAGATAGCAGTTTGGCCACTTTGCAGCAAGACGAGGTTGATCGGAGAGAGTCCACCACATCCATTTGTGCCAGCAACGATAACACGGTGGTGGACAAAATTTCATCCGTTCAAAGACTGACTCACGAAAATTTACGGAAGCAAGAAAGGTCGGAAAAGGTGGAAACAACTCAACGCGTTATTTCGGAAAGTGATGACAGCTCGTTGAACAGCGAACTTGAACTGGATCAGGTTGTATATCCGGACAGCGACACGGGCCTTGAATCGATGAGCTCGGCCGAAACGCATGATACCACGAGGTGTACCACCAAGGATGGCGTTTTAGAAACCGAAAACTTAAGAATGGAAGTCACGAGGCTTAAATGCGATAAATTAGATTTACTGAGGCAAAATGTGGTATGTTTGTAGGTTATGGTAAATGTTATGTATGTTTTGTTATGATTTAAGTATAATATTATTTTACAGACCTGCCAACGTGATATAAAACGTCTGCGAGAAAAGGAACTTCAATTGCAGTCCGATCTCGCAGCAGCATCGAAGGAAATTCTTCGATTGAGAGCTATGCTAAAAGAATGTTCGACGAGTATTCCATTGGACAACAACAATCAACAGACATCTACCGTTTAAAGATGGCTTTGAGATACGTTTAATATGCCTTCATCGGCGCATAACTTCCCGTTGCAATTATTAGATTTTAATAATTAGTTAGGCGCAGTAGTTGAAAACTCTATAAAAATCATACTTTTTCGGAATCGATTCTTGTAAAGAAATTTTTCCGAAAAGCAGTTTGCAAAGAGTTTGAAACTTGCAATTCAAATGCTTTATGTTACGTTTTAACACTGTGGTTGAACTTCTTTAGGTAAATTGATATATACACGCTGTATATTACAAAAGAACGGGTCAGTGAAGGATATTTAGAGAAAATGTTTTTGCGATATAAATATAGCGATACGTCTTTCGAAATATTTACAACGTAGACGCTAATTGTTACTTGTAGAAATATTTGTTTGATCTTTAACAATATTATTTATCTATTAATTTATTAGTAGTCGTAAGGTAATCTCTAATAGTCAATATAATTACAAATAAATGACACATACAAACACACGCAACACATAAATAAATACAAATAGGAATGTTTGAAAAAGTAGGTACATCTTGTCATTATAATAGATAGATTAGAATAAAAAGTAACATGGCCTTTAGACTTAGTTTCCAAAATCGAGAATAAATATACAGAAATTAATATAACATATTTTACTTGTAATAATTAAATGTGCATAAATCGAAAGATCGATATATATATATATATTATATATAAAGTAGCAGTTACAATTCTCATACTGTTTTCGAATGAGATAACTGCATATTGTCCCATAAAACAATAATATAAAGTGACTGGTATAAATACCCGTACGCTTATGGGTTATAGAAATATGTGTTTTATCGATATATTTCTGACGTCTCACATTGAAACAAGGATATGTATCGTTAATTACAGTATTCGTCGCGGTGAATTTACCGAAACCATTACTAGTTTTTTAGTATTAGTCTGAAACAACTTTAACAAATATGAAAACACCTCGTTAGTTAAATCTTCCGGCATCATTAGCCAATATAGTAGAATAAGATTAGATTTTCTAACCGTTTTCACGGTTGTAATGATTTAAATGCACCAAATTGTTTAATAACAATTACGATATATCGATGTGTCAGTAACATACGAGTAAGACACGTATTACCGTTCATTGTTCACTAATACGCAAAGTAAACTAAGTATATTTCATTTGCTTAGTTATGCACCGTTTTTTCATTATCTTTCACAAAATGGTATTAGTATGATTTATTTTTATCATTATTAAAACTATTGCTATTATTATTACATTATTAATATTATTATCATTATTATTAATTTCGTTGTGCTTTATATGTTTTTTTTCTTTTTTTTTTTTTTCATTTTTTTTTTTTTTTTTTTTTTGTAAATATTTGGCTATCTTTCTATATAGAAAGATCGAAAATGTTGAAGAAAAGAAAGGACAGAGGGACTCGAAAGTTCACTCATATATAATACCAAAGTTTATCATAGTAAAAATCTACTTTTCTTAGTTTTCTACATTCCTTTTCATACAATATTCGCCTCTAAAATCTGCGTATAAAATAGCATGTACTTTTCTCAAGCAAAAGTTTTTTCTACAAGTACAAGTTTTTCTTCTGAATTTTGTATCTCTTTATAAATACTTTGCAGACATATTACGATTATCACTGCCTGTAACAATGTCGTTTTGGACTATATCACAATTTTCCTCTTTAAGTGAAACTAATCTAATTTGTCATTTTCTTGATATGACACGATTTTTTTCAATTACTTGTATTGTTGTTTATAGCGAAAATCGTTATTCACGAGAATCCTTACCTCTATAAAAAAATTGTGGTATACGAAAAAATGAAAATTTCTCGTCAAAAAATCATCCAAATCATATAAAAGAACTATATAACTTGGAATCTATTTTATGACAATTTACTTTTGAATTTATTTCAAATAATGATCTTTGTAATGCCGGCTAAAATTTTCAGCAAAATGAAACTTTCAAAAGATATACAAAAAATAGTAATCGCTGCGAACACTTTCCAGTAATGCTATTTTTAACTGTCGTAAAGATGAGCACACACGGTGTATTTTATAGAGTTTACGATCAACGTATATTTACAATGTTGTTTTAGACTGAGCGAAAAATAGGTCATCCGAATATTTGATTTCGTGGAATTTGTAAGAGAGATACTCGAAGCATCTCGACTACCAGAAAATGTATACTTGAATGATTTTAAATTCCAAAATATCGTTTTATAAACAAACAACTAAATGATTTGAAGAAAGCACGCACATACGTATATACATACAATATAAAAATTTGATGCTGCAGGATATGAAAGAAATTTTAATAGCATGTATACATATATCTCACTATCGAATGTAAATGCAAGTACTCACAAATTTTCATTACTGCGCATTAAATTTCATATTTATGAAGAGTTCGAAAATTAGTCAAAATTACTTTTACAAATGTATATAATGTTAATTACGTTTAAATAATGGGTCATTTGATAAGAGCGTCTCTTTGTCTAAAATTTAGAAAAAAAAAGACTAAGTTCATCATTCTCTAGTGTGATTTCTATGCTGGCCTTGCAAAATCAAAGAAAGATTATCTATATTACAAAGAGATATGTGTTATTATATTACGAGAGAGAGTGTGAGTGCGAACGAAAGAGAGATAAAATATTACTGCTACAAATATATATTTTGTATTTAATATTAATCGCCCAAATCTATCTAACAGAATTGCGAATACTATTATTCTCTGACACTATGACACGAAAGTATATATTTCTTATGACTGGTGTAAGTATTCGCGCATACTATTTTTTCTTTTCTATGCACGACTGTCAACTTGAAAATCAGTGATAATGATGTTCGCCAATAAATAAAATGATTTAAACCAATATTTTGCAATTATTATCATATGAAATAATTTTAATATAAGTAAGTAATTTTTAATAAATTAAGTAAATGAGTTTTAATAAATTAAGTAAATAATTGTTACAGCATATTTGTTTTATTAATTTCAAAAATTTTATTAAAATAAGTGATTTGAGTATATATTTCAATATTGATAATTTGAAATTTTAAAAAATTTTTTTTTTTATTAAAATAAAACTATAACAAGATTAATTTTTAATGTAATAAATTATTTAAATATATATTGATACAATTTTAGATATTTTAAATTATATAAGTTTTTATTAATTATCATTATTATATGTTTTTACATGTAAAGAGTTGTAAATTTTATAAATAATTTTATTTATATCAAGTAGATTTATTGATTACAAATATATATTACAATATTTAATTGAACATTATTTGAATTTATATTTAAATATAAGATTTAAAATTGACCTTGTTTAATCGATTTTATTTCAATAGTCTCATAAAAAATAAAAAGTTTAATTATAACCATATTTTTAAAATCAAAATATTGTGTGTCGCGTGTATGTGTATTCTTTCGAATACAAACAAACAAAAATCAATCTTGATCTCATAAGATAACGTAGTTTTCTTAATAATACATCAAAAAAGTTGTATTGATACAAATTTACTTATAATTTTACAAATTTACATAAAATATAAAATATTATTGAAAAATATTATATGTTCTTTATAATTATTATTTAAGTACAAACTTAAGAATGCATTAAATAAAAATATTCTTCTAGAATGAACCTTTCCAAACAACATAATCGACTGATTTTATGTGGATACTAGCGCCGCAAGTAACAAGCTCGTCCATAAAGTATGTTTATTATCGACAATGCGAAACAGACTGTAGTGGCGGAATGAAAATGGCTAATTGTCAGGTTCGTTGGTGCAGCAGGTGAGCGATCAATTATCGTTAATATCGGGACATTAGTTGCTTCGGGATGAACGGTGCGCAGTTTGTAGCGATCTGAACGGCTGAAATCAGTGAAAATTGTGTCGATTTTAGTGTTGTCGAACGAGTTAATGGATTTTCTGAAGAGGTGCGTGATCAAGATTACCGCTGGAAGGCTTGTTGGCTCCTTTTTTTCTACAGTGATAACAAGTTTTCAGTTTGTTAGAAATGAGCCAGCCAATGATCATTACTCGTCTGGCTTCACTCTTATACGGGAATCAATAACCTCCTAGAGGGAAAAAAGAACGGATGCGACGCGGTCTCAAAACATTGAGACACATCAGCAAAACGTAGATTAATTTATTACGTCCATTCAGAAAACATACGTCCACCCGTTGTTTCTCCCGTATCAGTAACCGCGCGGAAAAAAGTGATGCATGAAAAGTCTCGATATTACGAGGCACGTGTTTGTATTGGAGTAAGAGCTGCTCTGTGTGTATGTGTGCCAGGTGCACTGTTGCATCCCTCTGATGAGCGCCATGCACCGTTTAGACCATAGCCATAATGTCATCCCGAAGGCTACTTCTTAGTAATTCACAAAGGGTTCACTCTTCCGTGAAGTACAGCGCATGGATACTTTCCAGGCAATACCTAGCACGTACCTTGCTAGAGAAATATTTGTGGTAGATCCTCGGTGAATTAAGAGTATGGCTTCTGGTGCATCTTCCTTGGATAGTGCTGGAAGTAGTGGTAAGTTTTTAATTCTTTATATTATATGTTAATATATATTTATATTGATTGTCCTATATCTCTTACATATATAGATTTAGGTGGAAAAAATGACCTAATAATATTGATGCTATTATAAAGTTTTTTATTTTAATTTCAATCTTTAAAGAAAAAGAAAAATAATGAAAGCTATTGTGTTCTGTCTATTTTTAAGAACGGAAAAGAGATATTTTTGTATGAATATTAATATATATTTAATGGATTTCATTATGTTAGAATAAATTTATATTATGAAAATTCATTGTCAAAAAATAGTTTTATATTTTTCTTTAAATAAAAAAATAATGTGATATTTAAGTTAACTAAATTAAGTTTTATAATTTTGAATTTAAATAGAAAATTGTAATTGATATATTTAAAGAATATTTATTTAATTTCACTTTACAAAAAAACAGTGAATCATGATGCTTACATGCGTGACATAGAGTTTCTTTCCTGGTGAAAGCTAGATTTCTGATTATATTCTGTTCTATCAATTGTAACAACATAGTAGATACTATATAAATATAATCATTTCACTCTTATATTTTTAGTGAATCTTATATTATACTTATAATTGATTATATTTTTATTCATTATTTTTTTGCAGATGGAGCACTCAATATGGGTAAGATTAATATATGGAAAGAATGAAAATTAATATTAATCAAATTGTATCGTGTATTGAATCACTTTTTGTCACAGATATTTTATTATTAAAAATAAGAAAATTATTTATTCGCAATAGATTATATATATTATAATAAGTTTATTATTTTGTGTTTTGTTAAAATGTGTGTTTAATCCATATATTTATAAAAAATGCAAATCAATTTTTAACACAATTTAATATCTCAATTTAATGCACACTTTTTTGCACTAGTATTACTTTTATACGTAGAAATCCACTTTTTATATTTAATTGCATTTTATTTATTATTTTGCAATTTGCATTATTGGATATAATTTGCGCGTATGGCATGCAGAAAGAGATAGTGGAGGCTATGGCAGTGTCGGCAGTCCTGTCGGTGGGCCTGAATGTCGTAGTGATTATGATGGTTTGCAAGCTCAATGTGATCAAGCCATGCATCAGCTTCAGCTACTTAGGCATAAACACTCCGATACTATAAGACGGTTTGTCCTGGTTTTGCTTAATTGTTTGTGTTACTCTGTTTGATGTCTTTTATAGAAAATATACAATTTGAACAATCATATATTTATTTAAATAATGTATTTTAAAATATAGGTGTGAACATACTATGAAAGAATTGGAATACTATAGAGGACAACATATAGCAGTCATGAATCAGCTAGAGGCAACATCACAAGAGAGTTCCGCACTGCGGGGCAAATATGGAGATTTAGTAAATGATAAGCAACGCCTGGATCGGGAAGTTCAGGCGTTGCAGAAAGAAGTATCCGAATTACGATGCCAAAATCAAGAAGTTCTTGTTTCTGATGCTAGTAATAGTGACACCATGAATCAACATTATTTATCTGCGCTTCGAAAATATGAAGCCGTTAAAGATGAGTATGATGCCCTTCGAAAACGGTACGATGATTTAATATCGTCACATTCATCGGCTGTTAATAAGGTATGTGCGTTAATTTTCGGAATTCATTGAAACATGGATGTGTTTTAATGCAGACAATGATAATTTTTTTTAAACTTTTTATTTTGTTATTTGATTGATAATAGTTGGAATTATCGCAAGAAGAAGCTGCTAGATTAAAAAAACAATACGATGAAATTGTTCAAGAGCGTAATAGTGCAGTACGTGAGCGTAATGGTTTAAAACAACAGTGTACTGCTGCGATTAGGCAATGGGATATTGCATTAAGAGAAAGAAATGAATATCGTGAAGCTTTAGCCAAAGTACAGCAACAACATGAAGAGGCAGTAAAAGAAATTAATCATGCAATGGTGCTACGCATGAAGGCTAGTAAGGATATGAAACGATTAACAGAAGAAAGAAATGCTGCATTGCAAGAATACAGTTTAATTATGGGTGAAAGAGATACGGTACATAAGGAAATGGAAAAACTTGGTGATGATCTTACACAAGCGTATACAAAAATCACTCATATAGAAAATCAGAACAAGCAATTCATGGAAGAGGTAAATTTATTTAAATTATTAATTTATTATTTTTTAATTAATTTATTTAAACCTGGTACATACATATTTCTTATAGATTTTGTATTGGTTTTAGTTATTTATATGTTGTACATTACTTGCTACTGTGTGTACTATTTTTAAATTAATGTTCTGTATTTTAATATCTGCTCTTTTTATTTTTAGAAAAAAGCTTTATCCTATCAAATAGAAACTTTAAGAAGAGAAATTTCATCCGCTTTACAAGATCGGGACGAAGCTTTAAAACAATGTAACGAATTACGTCAAAAGTTTGGTGATTATTCTGAAGGTTCAAATAGAGATTATAAAAATCGTATGGAATTACATTCGTACAATCGCGAACGTGATAATTCGAGCAAAGAAGCTGAAAGAGAAAATAACACGGCAGATTATACTAAACGTGATAAAGAACGTATGGATAATTTGGATCAGGCAAATTTGGAGTTAGATAAACTTAGAAAATCTGTTGATAAATTGCAAACGGAACTCGAAGAAGCCTTACAAGAAGCAGAAGTATCAAAACGAAGAAGAGATTGGGCTTTCAGTGAAAGAGATAAAATAGTTTTAGAAAGGGAAAGTATTAGAACTCTCTGCGATAGATTAAGAAAAGAACGTGATCGTGCAGTTTCGGAACTAGCGGGTGCTTTACGTGATTCTGATGATATTAAAAAGCAACGGAACGAAGCATCGAAAGAATTAAAGGATCTCAAAGAAAAGATAGAATCTGGCGATCATGCGTTAAGAGCAAGCCAGTTTGCACAAAGCTTAGTGCATGCACACGATTCGGCGATCGATACTGATGTTAATGACTGGGAAATTATTCCTATTCATTTGGATCTTAGTCGACTTTGTCTAGATTCTGATCGTGATTTGGGACTAACACTAGTTGGAGGCCGTGATAATCCATATTATCCAAACGACACAGGAATTTATGTTGCTCAAGTAATATCAGGAAGTGCTACTGATGGTAAACTAAGAGTGAATGATTGCATTATGCGAGTAAATAATGTAGATTGTACATCTGTTTCTACACGTATAATTATGGAAACTTTACGTACCTGTTCGGGGGGATCGGCTACATTGACGGTAAGAAGACGGCGTTTGACCAGAAGATCTTTAAGGACAACTCAATTGTCCGTTGGTTCAGTTCCTCATGGTATTTCTTTGGAACTTGGAGTATATATTTCAAAGATTTCACCTGGTAGTTTAGCTGCTAAAGATGGCAACCTTGCTGTTGGAGATAGAGTTTTGAATGTATGTCTTATAAAAATTATTTTATATTTATTTTTCATTTATTTGTTTGTTTAATATTGATTCGTTGAACGTTTCTTTTTCTTTTTATAGATCAATAGTAAACCAATGGAAGGCATTAATTCCAGTCACGAAGCAATGGCAACTTTGAACGACACGAATACGGATGTGTTGACTATTACAACTTTGAAGGGAATACCATTGCCTTCGGCAACTAGTTCTGAAACTATGACTATTGATGGTAGCTTCGGCACTGAAAAACAAAAAATGGTGAACAGTTGTTCTCAAACAGAGCAAGAAAGAATATTGTTGAAAATTCCATCAGACGATTATGAGAGAAGGCACGTTGCTTCGAACTTTGGCGATAGAAGTATATACAAAGTTTCGAAATCGGTTAGTAGCGAGAAACCAAGTGGAATTAGCAATGCTTGGGACAATATAAGAGAGAAGATTGATATAGTACGGGGACGTAAGCATAGCAAAGATCGGGAGGAGAAGAAGAAACGGCATCGCAACTCGAGTCCGAATACTTTTGAGCAAGAACAAGATGCAATAGCCGAATTAGATTCAGTGATAGAGAGTTATCACAAAAAAGCAAATAACGGAGTATTGAAGCGAAGTAAACGACGCGGAACCGAAAAAGTTGAAAAAAATGGAGGTACGTGGCCGAAAGCCAGAGGTGGGCCTCTGATTCAGAATGGTACTGGTACCATTTTACATTCACGTAAGACAAAAGAAAGATTGCCCTTAAGTGTACTCCTCAATCAACCACCAAAGTATGAAAGTTACAATTATAATCGTATTTCTAATCCTATCCCCTTGACCAATTTTTCCAATGTCAACAATCGGCATACGGTTTATAAATCTGTAGAAAAACCATTATCAAATTTCCTTAAAACCGGACCGTTATTTAGTCAAAAATCCTTTACTCCAGTGGTGCAGTTCAAAGATATACCGATAGATAAGAAACCAGCAACCGAGTTCGAGAACACGGAAAATAGGCTCAGTTCTACCCTTACACCATCCGAAACTAGTATCGACTTTTCTGTGAAGTCGGTTAATACGGGAAAAGATGTAGAATATTTTTCAAAGAAGAGAGCGCAAAAGTATACACCTAGCAACGAGAGTCAAGTAGACACGCTACAGCATAATAGAGCGCAATCCCAACTTTATTCCGGGGCTGGATCATCAACTTCCTCAACTAGCGGCCCGAGACAGCAATTGACTGGTAATTTTTCATTTCCTCCCTATACGCATTCGCATCCGCATCCCCATCAACAAAATTCTCTACCTTCGAGATACCCTTCCCCGCCCTCTTTGCCGTCTGCACAGTCCGGGGAGTCGATAGGACTTCCCGATGCACGATCTTATTGTTTCGAACCTTCGTATAGCCCCGGCCCGCAAACAGGATTCGGGCATTTGCACACACCCTCTGTAGATTTGCATTATCACAAATCTCGCGCTCCACCGATTGGCACTACATACGATGTATCAGCATACACGCATGGCTACGAAGGTGGAACATTTCCAAGAAAAAAGGAAAATCAACGTTTTCGAATACCATCAAATCCTAGTGTGACATCAAAAAGCAGCGTGGGTAAATTGTCTACCGGCAGTATAGAAAGAACTTCAGAAAGAGGCAGTCCAATGCCAACATTCCACGTGGAAGTGCTTAGCCCTGGTACAGGAGGCGGAAGTAGCTCTGGTGGAACTATTAGAGGAAGTAGTAGCAATAAAAGATCCAGCATGCCGGATTATTGTTACTCTCAACCAAGGCCAGCGCCGGGAGAACTTCGCAGAGTTCATATAGACAAATCAGTCGAGCCTTTAGGTATCCAAATTTCTTGCTTAGAGAGCGGCGGTGTATTTGTTTCTACTGTTAGCGAACACAGTTTAGCGTCCCAAGTCGGTCTTCAAATCGGCGATCAATTGCTTGAAGTCTGTGGTATCAATATGAGAAGTGCTACTTATCAACTTGCTGCCAATGTGTTACGTCAGTGCGGTAATTCCATTACGATGCTGGTGCAGTACAGTCCAGACAGTGAGTACAGTGTTTTGTAAAAAAAAAAAACAAGTAGAATATCCCTATCATGAGCTGCACTTTATATCAATTTTTTTTTGCACTTTTATACGTGATCATTATTTCTCATTATTGCATGGTTTCTATTTTAACGTAACTGTCGTACTTATATCTTGTTCTTTTTTTTTTTTCTCTCTCTCTCTTTTTTATAACAGAATACAATGAGTTAGAAGAAGGTTCCGCTTCTTCGAGTTCATCAGAAGCTGGTGGTGCTGAAGGAGGTAGTCGTAGTGGATCGCCAACACCGTGCAATAGTCCTGAAGCTCCTAGAAAAACAACTATTGAGCCATTGGAAACTTCGGAACCTGAGCGTGATGCTTCTAGTAGTTTAAGTACAACGCGCGATGCTTCTAATACTTTAAATATTATGCGAGAAACTTCAAATACTTTAGAACCACCTCGTACTATTCGAGAAAGAGATATTAGAAATTCTGCTTCTTTGGAAGTACCGAGTACGCAACAGAGAGAACGAGAAATTAGAGCATCGGCATCGTTGGATATTAATATCAGGAAACCGGAACTTCGTAGTTCAGCAACATTGGATAATATGCGTAATTCCGCAACTCTTGATACGTTACGTGGCACTGCGAATACTCTTACACGCGCACAGCTTAATCAAGCAGCGACCACGTTACAACGGCAAAATGCTACCGTAAGAAGCCCGACACAAGAGGAGCAAAATCGTAAAAGCCCGCCACCGAGTGAACCGAGATATCTTTTCATCGAAACAAGAAAGTGTTCGAATTTAGGTATCTCGCTTGTTGGCGGTAATGGTGTTGGAATATACGTACATTCGGTACAACCAGGTTGCCTCGCGGAAGACGCAGGATTACGTCCCGGTGACCGAATCTTAGAATATAATGGCGTTGATCTCAGACAAGCGACCGCAGAACAAGCTGCTTTAGAATTGGCTAGACCAGCGGATAAAGTAACACTGATTGCTCAATATGTACCTGAAAGGTATAACGAAGTAAAGGATAAACCTGGAGACAGTTTTTATGTGAAAGCAATGTTCGATCGAGTAGGCGAAGTTGGAGATAGCCTACAACTTAGGTTTAATAAAGATGATATTTTATACGTTGATAATACAATGTTTAATGGTACCCCGGGTCATTGGCGAGCTTGGATAGTTGATCAAACTGGAAGAAGACAAACTTGCGGTATAATTCCAAGTAAATTCAAGTAAGTTGGAAGAAAAAAAAATTTAAGATAATCATTTTATATCATGTTATATATTTTTAATGTATGTGTTATTATTCATGTATAATATTATTCATATATTTTAAGGGTCGAAGAAGAATTGCTTTTGCGACGTTCGTTAGGTGATTTGGAAACTGATACTACTAGAAGAGGTAGCACAAGTGCAAGAAGAAGCTTTTTCCGTCGGAAAAAACATCAACGTTCTTCCAGCAGAGATAGTAAAGAATTGTCACATCTTACAGGAGTAAATTTGGGTTGGTATAGTGATAGTGGAACATTGAATGAAGACACTCTTCCGGCAAGCTATCAACGTGTTGAACGATTAGATTGTAAGTATTTTTGATCGCACATCGATACTTATGATTATTTATTTATCATTAATTTTATTTTATTTTTATACAGATCCAGCTTTAAGACCAGTATTGATTATCGGACCGTTGAGCGAATGTGTAGTAACAAAACTATTACAAGAATTTCCAGGACAGTTCACTAGATGTCTTGCAGAAGCAATGCATTGTTCTCAAGCAACGCTCGAACAAGGTTTACGTGATTCTCTTTATGTGGACTACAGAAAAAAAGGAAGCTATTTCGAGTGTACTACAGTGCAAGCTGTGAAGGACATCTGTGAGAAGGTATTTTTTTATCGAATGCCTATAAAATATTGATAACGCTATTTATAGTAAGAGGTAATAAACACTAGGTAAAATACCTAAAAGTAGATCATCTAAAATTTATATAATTCTTTGGGTTTATTTATATTTCTTTATTATTATTTTTATTATTATTTTTATTAAAATATTGTTATATTGTTAAAATTTTATTAAAACATATCTATTTATAGAATACTCATTGCATTTTGGATGTTTCAATTGCATCGATTGAACGACTTCATCGACATCAAATCTATCCTATAGTTTTGTTGATTAAATTTAAAAGTACCAAACAAATAAAGGAAGTAAAAGATTCCAGATATCCAAGCGATAAAGTTAGTGCCAAAGTTGCCAAGGAGATGTATGAACAAGCATTGAAATTGGAAGCTGAATATAGGCATCATATTTCTGGTAAGAATATTTATCAATTAAAATTTCTATGTATTTTATTTTGTTATAAATTCGCTTCATTATTATTCATTATTATATTTTTTATATATTTCAGCTGTAATTCCAGCTGGTGTAAATGTTGCGTATATATGTACGCAAGTAAAAGCTGCGGTAGATGAAGAGCAAAGCAAAGCGCTTTGGGTTCCCAGAGGGCCTCCCTGACATTTAAGGGGGGGTCCCCACAAACCGCAGTGGAAATCAATCTAAATTCCACCAGGGGGCCCTTACGCCGTACGATTGTACAAAATTGTTACAAGTTTGTTTTTTATGGTCTCTTATTTGTCTCGATGGTATACAAGAATTTCGATTCTTCTTTTTATGGTTTCATTACTACGATTGCTTCAATAATTTTTATCTATTTTGTTATCGTAATTCAATTATGCAAAGATTAACATGTTTTTTTCCTTTTCTTTTTCTATATCTTTATTACATTGAAGTTTAATATAAATTACAAATTTTATTCTAATCAGTTTTTTTATATAAATATTTCATCAAATATCTAACGATTTTAACAAATATTTGACACTAATTAAATAGTACTAATGTTTCCTATAAAACTTCGCGAAAAAACATAGTATGTGATGTAACTTTAGCTGGTTTTATAAGATTTTCCTTAAATCGTTAAATATGTTCAAAAAATTATTCATATTTCAAGAAAGTGAAATATTTTTCATGTCTGCTTCGAACCTCGATCGATCATAATTTCTCAGTTAGATATTCAGTAATGTGAAAACTTTTTATTACAATTGGCATGAGACCATAAATGAAACGATGTAGCAAGTAAAAATATTCATCGTACTGTGGCCCATTAAAACATTTGGTGGATGAATTCGTAAGATTCCTTAGCGAATAAATTTCAGCCAATCGTACTTGTCTGATATTATTAACCCCTCAGATCACTATTGTACAGAATAATTTCGCGTAATTAGTATTATTGTACAGAAAATGTAATATTATAAATTAAAAAAAGTTACTTATTTGTATATAATTTACTTACAAAAACTTATGGATTATATGCTTCTTAATTTTTAGTTTAGACGAATCTTTTAAATTTAAGTGATATTTTAGTCATATTGTTTTATATATATATATAAATAAATATATATATATAAATAAATAAATAACTATTTATAATCCATTTGTTGAAATTGCGCGACAATCGATTTGAGGGGTTAATATTTTAAGGTTTAAGATCGAGGAATTAAAAAATGTAAAGAAAATGAATATGGAATTGAAAAACAATGGCTTGTTTCCGCCATTTTTTTAATTTGTAAATATCTAAAATGATAATAAGCAATAGAGATATTCGTGACACAGACTAACTCAATATAAAACGCTCGTAACAAAATATATAATGAAATGCGTTTACTATACATGAAATTGCTTTTTTACTTCTATAGTTTGAATTATTTTATGAATTTATAATATAATGATGTTTTTTACAACCGACTTTAAGGCGCTTTATAAGGTGCAGTCATATTTTGAAAAATATATAAAATGCAAGCACGTATCATTACGTATCTACATTCAGAATCTAATACATATTTTATATTACATTTTTATAAAGAAAAAAAATATAGTTTTTCTTATTACAATTTTAAAAATTATATTTAAATTGTTTCATTCTTAGTTTTTTTAACATTTTAATAAATATAATGAATTTTTTTACATTATTTACAATATCTGAGGTGTAGATATGTACAAGTTTCTTATATATTATCGGAAAAAATTAAGGGTACGTTTAAGAGTACCAAGGAATAAATATTAAATTTAATCATAAAAATTTATTATAATGTTATCACAATGCTTCGATACTTAAATTATATAATTTTCTCTTCTATTAGAAGCCTTTTTGATTTTAAAATGAATATTAATGAATATTATTTAAATCAAGAAAACATTTTGTAATGAGAATCAAGAAATTAAGATAATTTAGAAAAATTTTTATAAGTGTCACAAATATAAATGATTGTCCAGTTTTGTACGTACAGAAAGGATTAAATAAGAAAGACAAAAAAATTAAAGTTAAACATTGCTTTTTGTAAAACAAAAATTTAGTTTTTTAACAAGACAATATTTAGGCGTAAGTTATCAAACTGAGACCAAAAATTTAAAGGATACTATGCTAATTCATAAGGATAATTAAATTTATTCGTATCATTATTATCAATACGTTTAATGCAGAAATATAGATATACATATACACTTTTTGATATATTGCGAAATCAATAATATCAAATCGATTATGAATTTCGTAATACAAAAAGCTCGAAAAGAAAAAAAAATATATAAATTACAAGAAAAATGCCAAATATGTTTGGCAGCAACAAGGAATTATTGTTTCACATCCAGGGTAAATACTCTATAAAAAAGCGATGGCGGACAATCTAAACATTAAAATTAGGAATTTATTAATATAATAAAATATTTTTCAGGAAAAAATATTTAATTTTTATTCTTTTATAATTAGTAGGAAAGATATTATAATAATGTACGTATTACGTACATTTAAACATGTATTGTATATATTTTTGTACACACATATGAATCTTAAACGTTATACACGTGTGAAATGAAATATATAAATTATTATTTAAAATCGGCAATTTTAACTTATATTTTATACGATGATATTATGCGTTGTGAAATACAGTATATTTTCTGTAACAAATTTATTTTTATAAAATTGTTTTTTGAAATTATTGTAATTGTAAAGTATGGAAATTATTTTCAGTAGAACTGCTAATAACTTTCTTTTTTGATATTTGTTTAATGTAAAATAATTAATTATAAAAAAATTAACAAAAATGTATATATATATATATATTTGTATATATTTTTTTTTTCTTCTTTTTAATAGATATATAATATATATACCTATTAGAAATGTGATTAAGAAATAAGATAAACACAAAGTGCATTATTAAAATGAGATTTATTTTGTTATTCAATTTATATTGAAAATAAAATTAATGAATATTAAAAAAAAATATTTAAATTCTTTATGTTCTTAAATATTGTACTTCTTCATCAAAACTGAATATAATGTAATTATAAATGCAATTATTATTTCGTAAAACTTTTTTTAATTAGAAAAAAAGATTGTAAATATACTATATCGATCCAGATTCTTTAGAGAGAACTGATAGAAATGATAAAACTTACATTTTACATAAGAACATTGTATAACGGGTAAGATTCATTTGTGGAGAGTTGCAAAAAAAATGCATCTTTTATGTTCTCTTCCAAAAGAAACTTTTTTTCCAAATAATCTAATGTAAAAAAAAAAAGAGAGAGAGAAATATTGTTGATATACATAAATTAAACATAATTTTTGATTGAGTGAAAAATTAAGATAGGTCGAGGGCGAAGTATAAATGCCAAAAATAATACGAGAAAGAGAGAAAAAAAAATGAGCAGTATCGAAGGAGGAGGGAGAAAAGATTAATTTTGTATTAACAATTATTTTAAATCACAGCACTGTGATACATGTGTAACTGCTTCGATGATGACATATCAATTTCACAATCCTTCTACATTATTACTATTATACATATACGTACATAGTACGAAACTCATATTTTGGGCAATACTTATATATATATATATATACTATACGTAAATGTTATATATATATACATACATATATATTTAACTACGCACTTTTACTATTTTTCATAAGCACGTGATTCTGATCCATTTAATAATACATATACAACTGATGCGCGCAAAGATACGAAAGGAAAATGAAAAATATATTCTCAATTTTTTTATTCAATTTACTTTCGAAATAGATAATGTTCGAATGGAAAAATTTTTAAATGCTCTCAACTATTTACAAATTTATAAAACTTAAACAGGATATATGTACATATAGATTTTTTTTTTAATTAAGAAATATTATTTGAAACAAATTTTTTTGAACGAAAACATAATTTCGTTGAAAATCAATGATACAAATTTACGTAAATTTAATAAGTGTAATCTCGAGATACATATAATAGAAATATTTTAAGACGCGCGTGCTAGATCATAACATAACAAGAACATAACAAATAATTAGGTATACGATAATAAAACAAGCATTGATTACTGATCATTGAAGCGTTTATGGTGATATATATATATATTACGTGGACGAGAAACAGAGCATGGCGATTGGGTTTGAAGAATGCGCGGATACAGATCGATGAGTTCTGATAGCAATTTATTCAAACGATGATCGCGACTAGTCTTCAATAGTATTCTATTTCCTATTAACGAATTTCTCCTCGCAGTATCACTATCTATGTTCCGATCGAAGTTCTATCGTCTTGATATCTCACGTTATATATCCATGCTCTATCTTTATATATATTTTTCTATATTCTATTTGTATCGTACGTTTTTTACGTTATTGCGGAAAAAAACATTAGTTTACTTACCGATTTTTCATTTTCAAACGTAACAAAGAAAGGCATTGGTTCTTCTAAATTTAAGGTTTAATTTTTCTCTCTAAATATCAATATTTATTAACCGGGCATGTAAACTGTCTTCTTCGTCTCTCTTCCTTGTCGGTAGAACCGTCTCCGAATCAAAGTATTACCTCATCGATAATGAAATTCATTTTTCTTTAAGAAAAAAAAAAAGCTGTTGTAACAAATGTAACAGTGCTGCGAGCTTAGTTAAATCGGATTTAAGTATTTTTCAGTGCAGAATATCCAGATAGTCGTCGATAAATAACAGTTCGTTCGTTCGTAAAGTTTAAGTTCTCGTGTAAATTTTTAAATATTTGTGAATTATTATTTATATATAAAAAAGTTTCTTTTTTTTCGAAGAAGAAACAATGAAATATAATTGTGAAAAAGAAAATCGTGCGCTGAAAAGATCGATGAAAAGAATAGCTAATATTAGAATTGGAAGAAAATTTTGTGAAAAAAAAGTTAGGTTACGGCAAAGCGGCATTTCTAGTTCTTCTTTTAATGATCACGTTTCTATCGTTGTCTTTTTACATACACAGAGTGCATTATTATAAAATGGAATTGCATAGTTGCTAAGCGCAGGTTAACCTAGACTGATTTACAAATCAATCAATCATCAATCAAGTCTGTGTCTATTTTGTCGGAAATAAAGTTGGGGAAAATTTTTTTTTTAATAATTATTGAATAACTAGTAGAGAAAAAAATATTATGCTCCATAGGTTGTTGAGATTTCTATTTACAAGTAAAAAAATCGGAATACACGGTTGTATCGTTTATAAAACGCATTCACTGCCAAAATATTTATTTAACTTTCTCGTTATTATTCTCGCAGATGAATTGTTCATAGAGAAAGTTATATAAATAATTTAACAACAGAGTAATAGAGTAAACGTACATATTGCAAAGAAAAATAATAAAAAAAAAAGAAAGAGAGAAAAAAAAAACAAATAAAATAAAATGCATCGTGGTGGGAAAATTATTTTGTAAAGATATTATTGTCGAATGTAACGAATGTTTAGGTTGAAAAGGAAATTACTACATATGTTTAGGTTGAAAAGGAAATTAATATAATTACAATCGATAAAATTCGATTGTAAATAATTTTTTTTTTGTTGAATAATGTTATATTATACGCGTAATATTATTTAAATAATATTCATTAGTATGTATTTAATAATATTATGATAATATAACATTACATTTTATAAATGTATTGTAAATACGTATGTAGCATATTTGCGTAATGTATTATGGATTGTATAAAGAGAAAGTTTCTTCGTTTTTTTTATTTTTAAGCGAATCTTAAATGATTATTTTTTTTATCTCGATTGATTCGCAATTTGCCCACTAATGCTTCCACGACAAACACACATAAAAATTATTCACACGTATGAAAGAGAATCCCCTTATTAAGTTATTACTTTTTAAACTTATTTATTATTTATAGTTAAACCTTAATATAATATCAGCAATAAACTTGATCGTTTATTCGCAGAATATAAACGTGTTTTCTTGTTTTCTTAAAGTGATTATCCAGCATGTTCGAATCGTTTCGTTTATTTTGCATGTTTAATTTTATATATATATATATGTATATTTTTATTCTTTATTTTTTTCTGTATTTATAAAACATTACAATATTATTTACTAATAATTTTATTCTGTAAATGGAAAATTACACACTAACGAACGAGACAGAGAAAGATATATTAGAAATATTTATTTATTATACAAAATAATTTTTTTGCATTTTCATCATTCTAATCATTAAGGTTGTAATCAAGACGTCCAACATTTCCACTATCGATCGATACTAATACCGTGTAATGTATATTTATGTATAAAAAAAAAATTATTATTCTTTTCTATTACTTATTTCGACTTTTCCCACCAATATGCTTTCTATACATAAGCTTTAACAGTGAATGCGTGCATAACTATTAATATAACGTTTCTATATGTGCTCGATAACTAACTAAGTGCATAGCACAGATATGGCGATTGTAGCATTTTTTCTAGCAAAAAAAAAAAAAGTCTTTTTTGTTAACAGCATTGAACAGATAGGATATTTCAAAAATCTGTGATCAATATATCGACGCGTATAAGCAGCATGAAATTTGTGATTGTATTAAGATGCAAATATTTTTTATACGAATTGGTGTATACGCTCAGACGGTACGAGGGACGAAATTAGCGGTTAGAAATATTCCGAATATTCGGAATGAGAGCAAATCGCAAGTATCGATTGTTCATTATCATTGAGCATTAATTTATTCGAATGTGATGTAAATATTAATAACTTTAGAAAAATGAAACTTTATTAATTTTATTTTTCGAGTTGTATTCAATTTTGAATTAGAACGTTATACAGTACGAAAAATTTATGACGTAATTTTATGAAAAATGTAATTTTATTCTGAAAAGAATTGTTTGAATATTTTTCAGGGATTATTTTATTTATACAATCGCATTATTTAAAAAAAAAGAAGGATTCGATTTACAGTGTGCGAGTTTCGCTTGAATTTTAAATAAAATTCAAGTTGTATGTATAGCTCAATAATTACGTATGCCGATATACCGTACAACCGATAAACCTGACACACGTTCCAACTGTCCAAGTTTCACGCTGTTTCCTGTTAAAAGAAAAGTAAGTCTTCCTATATGTCTATTCCTGCCACGCGCATCGACTGCCCCGAAGATATTTTTAAAAGAAAAACCTTCATGACTTTTCATTCGACTTTAATATGAATGTATACGTATGCAATAATGATAACACTATTTTCACGCTCGGTGAAATCCTTACTATTTTTGAAATCTTTTACCGATCGTATGGATTGAACATGCCACGTGTTAGTATATCACTTGATATCGATTGATTTTTCAACGTTATAGCGAGTAAAACGAGAAAAAAAAAAATATTGCAATCGTCAAATATGATACAAATTTAAAGGAATTTATAACACTTTTGGTACGAAAAATTACGATAATATTGAAAAAATTTAATTATACAATAAAGATAGAAGTTGCCCTTATGTGCTTGCGTGTACGTAATAGTAATTAATATCTCAATTTAAAATTTATTCAATTCACAGTTAGTTAAATAATATATACGGAAAATTACGATATATTGATAAAAAAAAAAAGTCTGTCGGTCTCTTCAAGAATCTGTTATATATATAATTTGTAATTTATTTATAATTATTAGAAGAATGTGCAAAACATGGTTTTTTTGCCATTCTAGCGACTAATTTTTCAATTATCCAAGTACATTGTTTGGAAATAATTAACAATATATAAAATACCGTATTGTGTCATCTGATCCCCTCCCTCTCTTTTGCAATGGTTTTGATACCAAATGTTCTAGCTCGTAATTTATAAATACATATATACTTCTATTTATAAGCATATGTCTTTTAATATGATACAAACAACTTAACAAAATACATATATTGAAATATATGTGTGTATATATACATATGTATATGTGATATGTACATACATATATTTGAAATGCGATACAGATGATACAATCTTTGTAATATTATGATATAATATATATATATGTATATGTGACACATTGATTAATATGTATGATGTAAGGAATGGATTCGGTGTATTCGTGTGAGGTTATTACGGCAAACACGTGCGAATACCCAAATATCGACGTTCGTTATTGTTTGTAAGTCTTCTTTCTTGTAAAACGTACAAGTTGTCTTATGTAAGAGAGAAAGGAAATAAAGTCGAAGTTCTAACGAAAAACTTTCTCATTATTTTCATCATCCAAATAGATAAGATAAAATAAGATAGAAGTAATACACAAAATTCAAGATTATTATAATTATATAATTTTATAATTTTCACTTTCTTTTAATAATAACAAAAATTCCATAATATAATAATTGTAACAGTGGCAATTATTTGATCATTTTCACATTAATCTTTTAGTTACAAAACATGTAAAAATTCGCATTCTTATGAATAAATAATTATACTCTTATGGTTGTTAACATTATGAATAATTATAAAATATGGTTTAGTGTTACAAAATATATAAATAATGTTCCATTACCGAGATTTACGTTACATGTTACAAATGTAAATAATAAAATCATATTGAATAAATGCAACAAAGATATGGCTTATAATATAGTTTCGTTCACGAGCCTTATTCATTTGTGATTATTTGTAAAAAAATATTTAACAAGCATTACATACGCAAGTCTTAAAATATGAAAATTAATATTATTCTGTAAAGAAAAACGTGACAATCAGATTATTCTGTAAAGAAAAAAATTGAAGACAGAATCAAAATATAAATATTATATTTCTTTAAAATTTTTAATTTATAAAAATGTTCATTAAATAATATTAACAATAATATTTTCTGATTTTACACGTTTGTCGATTATGATTGTTTAAGTCAACTTTTGACTTGTACGTGTAAATATCTATACAAATATATAACAACTTAATATCTATCAAATAAATGATAATATAAATTGACATTTATAACAATCGAGGCACCAGTTTACTAAAAAACAATATATACTTCTTTTCATGAATTATTTTTTTCATCTTATTATTTATATTTACAAAATATAACGCTACAAATGGCTATGGCAAATGGATTCTATCAAACAGAATTTCTTCCTTGTTATAAATAACAATAACGAAGACTAAATTTCTTGACTAGGCTGGAGCCATTCATTCAGTTTTTCAATAAATTTTAAAAATTCATAAATTAATATAATAATTTTTCTCCGTTCTTAAATTACATTTAAGATTCATTTTATTATATCCATTAATCCAAATAATGAATTATAAAAACAAAACATTTACGTTTTTCACGATAGTGTGTATGAAATTAAGAGAAATTTCTATCGACCAAAAAATTAGTTTCTTTATGTGTATCGAGGTGATTGTACTTTAATTCGTTGCTTCTGAGTGCGAGGAGAGCGTGATGTTACGCGAAATTCAAGAGGCAAATCGTAACAACGGCAAACGCAGCAACTTGGAAATTTAAACCAGTCGCTGAAAATACCACGGCATTCGTTGTTCGGGTCATAAGCTAATAATCGATGAAGTCGATATTGTTGCTCGCATCTGCATCCATCTCGACAGTACATCTGCTTGTTCTCGTGTCTTTCCATAAACAAAATTAAAAAATTTTTTTAAAAACATTGTCCAAGAATTTATATTAAAACAATATTTTAATATAAACTTACGTGCATTTCTCCCAATGAACGTATTGCTCGAAGGGATAAAGATTCAAAAGTGCCAATACTTCTCCTCGTGTATTGTTCGCCCAAAATGGTGCAACCACTTCCTCCTTTACAGGACAAGCATTCCTGAAATATTTTTATCATTTAGAAAAAATGCAAAATAATACATCATAACTATATATTATAATTATATTGTTTCTTTTTTCTTAATCTTAATTATACTCATCGTGAAAATTTTAATTTTTCGGACAAAAATCAAACATTTTTGGATCGACATACAAACAAAATAAACGACATTTACACTCCTCGAAGCTTAAGAACCGGTTGTTCCTGTTGATCTTTCGCCGCGACATCCTGATACAGCTGGCCTTCCATAGTCGAAACTTCCGGCTTATTCGGTCGATATTCTGGTCGTGGCCTGAACTCTTGTTGCTCGTTCGAGTTGGATGTCTCCTCCTCTTGAACGGTCGTCTCTTTCGGCGTCGCGAATAAATCTTCGCTACCATCGAGTTCATCCGGTAATTCGGTAGTACCGGGAAAATTCATAGTCGTCGTTTCCTCTATGTTGGATTCAGAAACCTCTACGACCTCGCCAGCTTCTTCAACGACCTCGTCTATTCTGTCTATTTGCTCGGAAATTTCATTGATACTGAAATTTTGCTCTTTCACTGTATAAGAACTTGTGACTGTAGGCGATGTCGTTACCTCGTCTGACGAGTTTTTCTTTTCCTCGTTCGTGCTATTTACCAAACTTGTCATCGAAGGAGTATTTCTCGTAGTTGATTCACGAACAGTGGTCGAAACAATCGTGGAGGATATAATCATTGTCGATGAATTTTCCTTGGTAGACGAAATGGTAGTTGTCGGTGGCGAAGTAGTAGTTGTCGTCGTTGAAGTCGAAATAGTCGAGGTTCTCTCCGTTGGTCGAAAATGAGGTCTTGTGTATTCGCTTAATTTTGGAAATTTGTTTAATCGTTTTGCAACGTTATCGTTGAACGATCTACTCGTAAAACCTCGTCCCTCGTCCCTGAATTCGTTGTTCAATTTTAAATCATCATCCGCCTCGAAATATTCGTAATCGTGACTGTACTGGTATTTTCTAAATTGTCGTTAGATAAATAAATAATCGATTAAAAAATAATATTATAATAAGGAAAAGATTATTCGAAATATTCGTATATTATTGGGAATCAAATCTTTATAGATATTTGACTTACCTATGATCATCTGAAAAATGATGATAATAATCATCGTATTTTAATTCTATATCATTTCTCTCAAATTCTGCTCTTAATACGTTAATATGTCTTTCGTCACCATACATGCGCCTCATTAATCCTTGATTCTCTTGTACAAAACGACGAACTGCATGCCTATATAATAAAATTATATCATAAATATATCGAATCTATTTCATTATATTAATATCATCATTATATATTATATATTACAACACAAATGAAATTTCGATTGAAAACACTTTCTATTATTTCGAATATTTCGTACTACATATCACAACAATCATATTTCGAATGAGTATATTCAGTATCGAGAGTAAAATTACATCGCTTTCTCAATATTCTAGTAGTTTTGTCACGTATGATTTTAATAATCGAAGCATACAGTCTATTTAAAATTCATAACGAGGATGAATTCATTTGAAACTTTCAGTAGAAGTGAGGTATAGAATAAACATAACATTTAATATTGCAATATTGTGAATAACAGTTGGAATTTAAACTAAATTTCAATAACAAATTATAAATAACTATTCGTTTCATATATATCACCACGTACATATATAAAAATATGTTTTACAAAATCACTGTCTTAAAGATACACTACAAAGCCAAAAAAATCTATATCTTTCATATTAAGGATATAATATTCTAATTGTTGACAATATACAATATATGTCGATAAATTAGAGAGTGATCAAAAAGTTTCCGAGAGTAACGCCATCTCGCGTTTGGATCGCAGAAGCTCCGACTTGTTACTAGCATAGCAGAATATACGAGGAGGTATGCGAACTGTGTGACGTCACAGACAAGGTACGCAACATTGTGCAAGAAGGACAGAAAGAATCTTTAATCACGCCGTATGGAAAATTTATTAATTACTCATTTTCTACTTAAAATTTCTGAACTTTTAAGCTTGCATCTTGAAGCTACAGCTTTACACAAGTTTCTCGTATCAATTTTAATATGAAATTCTTTTTCATTAATTATTTATTAACAATTAACGCGTCATAGGAATTAATACATTGAAGACGCCATATTGAAAATTAATTAATAACTCGTTTTCTAATAAAAATTTCTGCACTTTTAAACTTTTATTTTGAAGTTAAAATTTTAAACAAGTTTCTAGTGTCAATTTTAATATGAAATCCTTTTCAATTAATTATTTATTAACATATTAATTTATTATCATTTCTAATGTATCGAGACGCCGATTCGAAAATTCATTAATTATTCATTTTCTAATTAAAATTTCTATACTTTTAAACTTGTATTATGAAGCTAAAGCTTTAGCAAAGTTTCTCTTATTAATATTAATATGAAATTCTTTACCTTTAATTATTTATTAACGATTAACTTATCATAATTTCTAATACGGAAATTCAAGACATCAGTTTGAGAATTAATTAATTATTCGTCTTCTAATCAAAATTTTCTGCACTTTTAAGCTTTTATTTTAAAGCTAGAGCTTTAATCAAGTTTCTTCTATCAATTTTAACGTGAAATTCTTTTTTATTAATTATTTATTAACGATTAATGCATCGTAATTTCTAATACATTTAATAAATAATTAATGAAAAAGAATTTTATATTGTAATTGATACGAGAAACTTATCTGAACCTCTAATTTTAAAATACAAGTTTAAAAGTGCAGAAATTTTTATTAGAAAACAAATAATTAATTATTGTTCAAGTCGGCGTCTCGATGTATTAGAAATTACGATGCATTAATCGTTGAAAAATAATTAAAAGAAAAGAATATCACGTTAAAATTGATACAAGAAACTTGGTTAAACTTCTAGATTCATGAAATAAGCTTAAAAGTGCAGAAATTTTAAGTAGAAAACGAGTTATTAATTAATTTTCAATATGGCGTCTTCGATGTATTAATTCCTATGACGCGTTTATCGTTAATAAATAATTAATGGAAAAGAGTTTCATATTAAAATTGATACGAGAAACTTGTGTAAAGCTGTAGCTTCAAGATGCAAGCTTAAAAGTTCAGAAATTTTAAGTAGAAAACGAGTTATTAATTAATTTTCAATATGGCGTCTTCAATGTATTAATTCCTATGACATGTTAATCGTTAATAAATAATTAATGGAAAAGAATTTCTTATTAAAATTGATACGAGAAACTTGTGTAAAGCTATAGCTTTAAGATGCAAGCTTAAAAGTTCAGAAATTTTAAGTAGAAAACGAGTTATTAATTAATTTTCCATATGGCGTCTCGATGTATTAGAAATTACGATATATTAATCATTAATATAAATAATTAATAGAAAGCTATTTCACACTAAAATTGATATAGGAAACATGTCTGAACTTCTAGCTTTAAGATATGAGTTTAAAAGTCTTGAAATTTTAAGTAGAAAACGAATAATTAATGAATTTTCTATGCGATAAAGTAAAAATGCTTGTTATCTTTCTCGCACAATGTTGCGTACCTTGTCTGTGACGTCACACAATTCGCATACCTCCTCATATATTCTGCTATGCTGGTAACAAGTTGGAGCTTCTGCGATCCAAACGCGAGATGGCGCTGATGTCAGAAACTTTTTTATCAACCTGACTTATCTATTTGATTAAAATGTATTTCATCAATATTTAAGAATTTAAATGTAATGTAATATTGTAATATTGTAATGTAATTCACATAAAATGTAATGGTATATACAATAATAGTTTCTACAATATATAAAAATGTAAATATATATATACATATCAGAGAATCAAAAATAGAACGAATATTGCTCGTTATCATCTCTTGAATTTCCAAAGACATTTTCTCAAAAACAGGATGAAATAGAAAATTAATTATTGGCGATACGATTGATAATTTGAATGTTCTACTTTATCCTGCTTTTAAAAACATATCTTTGACATTTAAAAGATGGCACTAGTTTTCAATTCTTACTTTCTTACTCTGTTTTATCCTATTTTTGGAAGAGATATTTTTGATACTTGAAAGATGGCGCCAAAGGTCAATTCTTGCTCTATAACTCTTAATATTTTCTATTCTTTATTTTTCGTATTTTATTTGCGATACATTTTATAGATGGCGCTGATTTCAATATTTTTAACCTATCTTTGCTTTCTCTCACTTTTTGTTTTTTTATTTTTTTTTAAGCGTGATTATAGGCACCGTATGTGATCAATTGAATATATTTTCATTATTTTCTTTTCGAGGAAATAATTATCTTAATTTAATATAAATCTTAATATAAATCTAATTAATTGTAATATAAAAAATATAGATATAAAGATATAAATAAAGATATAGATTCTTAATTTTATAATATAATCTTAGAATAACAAATACCGATCGATTACAGATAATTATTTAAAATTTTATAATGAAATTTAATTATTTTTAATTATTATTAACATTTCAATTCTGTACCTCGTAATTCAAATTATATATAAATTTCTAGCATTTAATATGAAATTGTGAAAATATTGTTTCTTTTTATATTTTCTAAAAATATGATAACTTAAAGATATAAATATGCAAAAGTATATATAAAAGTAAGTATAAAACAAGACAATGCATCAAATTACATAATTAGAATTAAGTAAAATGATGAAAAAATGTTTAGTTCCTGAAAATATATCAAGAAATGGAAATAAAGATAAAGATAAGTATAAAGTATAAAACAGGTAAGTATATCAAACTCCATAATTAGAATTAAGAAAAACGTTAAAAAAATGCTTAGTTTCTGAACATATCGTAGCAGAAAGAGGTAAGTATGTAAAGGTAAGTAAAAAAATAGGTAAGTATTAAAAAATGTTTACGTGTCACTTTCTTTCAAATTATATTCTCCTAATACAAAATTTTGAAATCCGGTCGAAAAATTGTATCGAAACTTAAAAATTTTAAATTTCGAAAAGGCGGGAAAAATTTCGCGTGCCACCTCCTATATTATTATATTCTCCTATTACAAAATCCTAAATTGAGACAAAAATTTTTGTCGGCCAAAATTTCGACAACGTATTAGGAGAACATAAATTGAAAGGAGGTTGCTCGAAAAATTTTTCCAAGAATTCCGATTCCAAGAATTTTCGCTCAATTCCACGAACTTTTGCTCGAGTTTCAAATTTTTGACTTTTAACAGGAGAATATAAGTTGAAAAGAGGTTGTGTTTGAAAAGTTTTTCCAAGAAATCCGATTCCAAGAATTTTCGCCCAATTCCACGAACTTTTGCTCGAGTTTCAAATTTTTAATTAAGAATATAAGTTGAAAGGAGGTTGTTTGAGAAATTTTTCCACGAATTCCAATTCCAAGAATTTTTATGAAATTTTATATATCTATTTATTCTATCATTTTTTTCTTCAACTATCAAATTTTTGACATTTTTTTAATTTTAGAAATATTTACTTTTTATATACTTACCTTTTACTTACCTTTAATTACGATTTTCTTTTTTTGATATTTTTTTTTATATATTTTTTTATTAGTTTTCTTAATTTTAAAGATATTTATCCTTTATACTTACCTTTTACAACTTTTTGAAATTTTAAACGTTTTTTCAACAGTTTTCTTAATTCTAAGATACTTACTTTTATATACTTACCTTCTCGTAGTATTGAATTTATCATCTTAAGTATTTCTCCTTTTTTTGATAATATTAAAAAGAATTTCAAATAAAAATTGAATGTTTTAAAGAGATCATTATATTTGACGTAATTCATTTTTTTATAAACGAATGCATAAAAAAATTATTAACTTTTTTTTTTTTAATGAGATTATGCATTTTAATGCATTTACAGCTAAATATTCTCTATGAAAAAGTACTGAGTCATGCTAGTCGAAAAATTACTAATTCAAAAGATATTCTATTATTTATTAAATAAATGGTTTTTTATGGCTAATAATTTTTTATAAAAACTCATATGTTATATTTGTTAATGTACACAATAACGTATATTCTATTTAAAAAAATAATTTGATCTTCATACTATTTCTACGCATTCATTTATAAAAAAAATATTACTTTATATTATATTCTTTTTAAAATCATTCTCTTTTAACCAAAACATTATCTAATATTATTAAATTTCTTTACGATATTTATATTTCTAACTTAATATATAATATCTAACCAGATATTATATTTCTAACTTAAGCCTTCATTAATCCTTTTGTTAAATATTTCGTTAGAAAGATAATTCTGTTAACTTACCAAGGATAAGAGCTGCCAGCTATTGTGCACCAGTTTTGCCGTTGAAAATCACAAGGAAGATTCGACAATCGGGCACGACCAGCCCGAGAATACGGTTTAGTACAAGCCGAGGACGCATCGTATCCGAAAGTGCTTGGTCCACCACCTCCTTGACATGTTACAAGCTGATATACGATCACCTGTGCAAATTTACAGAGAAATTTCGCTCAAAATCCATTCCGTTTCGATTAATCTTCGTCTTGTCGTCAATTGACACGAATCATGATTCAATTAAATTGTTAAATTGAAATTATAATCGTAACACCTCGATCACATATGAACGGAACGAATCGAATATCACTCACCTGAAAGACGAAATGCACGATCACATTCATAACTCGCGTTTGATTGACGTTTAATCCACAGTTTGGACCTGCAACCCGTTTAGGTCCGAATATATCACACTGTTAATCGACAGGAATCTGTTACAGAGGACGAAAAGTTCGTATAATGTTTCTTCTTTTCTTACATCCAGAAACACTGCAGCAACGTTTCAACGAGAAAGAAATATCCGCTAGAACTATCGCTGTACACAGATCACGATCGCGAAAAAATTGGAAGAAAGAAAAAAAATGGCACTATAGGTTACACGGCCATTGATAGAAAACATGGGTGCAGCGTTTTCTATGTAGGAAAAGAGAACATGGCACGAACTTTTCGCCCACAATAGCGTTTTCACTGGCGTAAAAAAAGAACAGAGGCTACATGACAGCACCTCCGCGCGCGAAGAGGACGCTTTCATTACTGAGCGTGTAATCAGCCGGCGTCGCGTGCGTTGGCAAAACTGGTAAAAGTACTTATACAGCGGCAAGTGTCCTCTGCGTGTATACGCGATCGCGTTCGACTCGTTCGGTTGACCGACAGAGTTGGAGGGAGAGGCTTAAGAAGAAAGGAGGAAGAGAGAGCACGTCCAGAGGCGAAGAGTAGGTCACTAAGGAATGTACCGTTACATTTCGGCCCATCGATGTGTGTCACGGGGCTCCGCAGTGACGTAGCAAGGGCTCTCCTAGCCGCACACTTCTTGCTTAACATCTTCTATATCTAACCTAACAAGTCCAATCGCTGAAAATAGCAATATTGTTCCGAACAACTAGATGCGCCACTGGTCTATGTTGCCGCCATTCGCTTCTTCTCTTCTCTTTAAATCGCCATTTGCGCTGCATCTCTCGATATCTGCTTATGTCCTTTCTCTTTGGCATCGTTCTTTTTTTTTGTAAACGATCGATGCTCGAAGAAAGTACGGATGAACACGATCCCCTCCATCGATTTCATGGCTATCTCGAAATGGCTCGCTTTGTTTACGTACGATCAGAACAAACTATTTAACGAAACTTTCCGCATGTTCTACTAACCTCAAAACTACTGTCACTTGAAATTTCTTTCATTGGATTTTTTATTTTTTTGTTTTTTGTTTTTATGCAACGAAACGTTCATAAACAAAACGTTGAAAGTGTAATGCTTTCGTTGTCGCACAAATATAGATACGAATTATGATAATTGAATCAACAAACTGTTCCCAATATACTTGGCATTTAGCGTTATATACGTTCAGTTGATTTTTATGGCATGGCAGTTTTAAACGAATAAATAAAATTGAATACACGATACATTTTGCGATAATCATTCTTACTTGCTCACTCATATTCTGTAAGCAAAATTCTGCTGAGTTTTCTCAAAGATGTATCTTTTAGTTTAAATAATTTTAGCCTAAAGGTAAAGCAGCATTATACCATTCCGTTAGGTGAATAGGATTGGATTATTGGAGCATCGTTTCGTCCGATTACTAGTTGGCAAAATACCAGTTTGCCGTGGTCGCTGGTGAACGCAGATACTGGTTCTTGCATCTTCACCTACAAGTAGAAAAGAAAGCTGTTCGTATCGGAGTGCTCGCGCGCATTCTACGCCATTAGTGATCTTTGATTATGCTACAATTTCTGATAAGCGTTGCCAATTCTGATTACCGGTCATGCGTAAACTCGCTCGAATTTCAGGGAACTAGAAAATGTTGAACGCTTCAAGGCATGTTCTAAAATGATACATCGAATGCATGCTACCATCCAGTTTGCCATTAGATTTACATTATTATTAGATTTAATTCGATGTGATTTTTTTTTATTTTTATGATATTTCGAAGACATAAATATAAATAATATCTTTTTATAAATATTTTTTCAAAATATTTTTCAGTATGATAGTGAAATACGAATAAAATGTCACAATTTAAGATTGCGGCTTAAGTGTGTGAATTAAATATTGATATTTTATATATTGTTAAAATGAAGTAAAAGTTTTGTAGAAATCAACGAATGTAAAAAATATAGCAGTAATATTTTTAAACATGATCGTTACTCTTTGCAACGAGCAATTTAATTAAAAGTCGAATAATTATTACATTTGTATACATTATAGCGATATATCACATAGTTATATTTTATACAAATATACATCATTAAACATTTAAATTTTTTATTATTCAAAAATTATATTTAATATTACAAAACGATCAGTCAAGAAGAATTTGATTACTAAAATATATATAAAATTTTTTAATGAAAATTTCCTTTTAATTCTTTATAATATTGTCGCAATTTCGTAATTTATTCTACGTAATTTTTATTTTTAGAAATTATTTATATATAAATTTGAAAATTTGTTATTAATATCATGCAATTTCTTTATCTTTTGTCCCAAATGAAAATAATCATCCATAATCGATTAAATTATTAAATTAATAAATGTTTTTTGCCTATGCTTCAGTCATTTCTTCTCTTGTAGGATCTTTGCGAAATTTCCAAAGTCCTCCTATATACCATAAAACAACGCAAGAAAGACTTAAAATTGATGTGAAGTGGAGAGCACCGACGTAGCTCATCATCCAATCATGTACTAAACCTTAAAAATAAAATAAAAAATCATATTTAATATCTGTCCAATATTTATAAGAATTAAAAATATTTCTTTACCTATAAATGGGCCTATAGTAATAGATAAAATTCCATTGCAAACCATTTGCATTCCGTATGCAGCCGGTAGTCTCTCGAGAGACACATAATCAGGAATTATTAACGTTTGGAAGACCGCTTTTGTTCCTTTTGCGATCCCAATAATCATTGCGACACCTATCACCACCACATAAGTATTTCCCCAAGTTGACAATACTGAAACATTGAACGTAAAAATCATTGAAATGAATTTTATCTTAATATTTCGAAGAACTTGATAAATATATACATACTTTCTAATAGTACGTAAGATAAATACGATATAAAAGAAAAAAATTGATTCAAAAAAATTGATCCCACTCGTAATTTTGCAGATTACCATAAAGTTGAAATCAACCCACCCAGCAGATCGTAAATCGGTTGGCGTGAAGGGGTCGATTTCTCATTTTCGAATATTTTACGTTGCTTTTACGTACTGGTCCTTCCAATGGTGGATCCTATCAAGGAAACCACGTAAAGGTTCCTCGATGTCCAACCGGCCTTCTGCGCCAAAAATGGGACGCAGAGACGTCCGGTGATGTCCGAAATCGCTTGGATAGACATGACGGTGGCGATCGAGGTCCTTTCCAGTCCGGAAAGTTCGGTAAGAACGAAAGGTATCATTGTGTTAAAATTTGTTTCCGCGACTAAAGATACTCCCATACCTGTTCAAAAAGTGACTATTATTGTAAAATTATTTGTAAAATTGTGATTTATAGGCGACTGATTAATTTTCTATCTTCTTTCATTTTTCGACTGAACGTTTAATTATTGTGTACATAATACATTGTGTTACACTTTACTTTGCTTTGAGTGCTCTTATCTGTTTCACTCGACGAGTTGTCTACATACTTATCGTATATTTTTTTTATCAATGCACCATCGAAACCGTATCGATATTTATTCGTTGTTCGATTCTCGAACGAATCAAAAAATTATATTCTTATTTATCGAATTCTTTGTGAGTTACCTAAAATAATGGCTACGTAACGAGCATCCTTCAAAAGGGCAAGATCCATGTGTTCCATAATCGTTGCCCAAACTGATTTTTTCTCCTCTTTCACGTTTTCCACGTTCGCGTTCCTCTGTCGTTCACTCGACACGTTCCCTTTCTGTTCCGATTCTTCTTCCAATAATCGACAATTGGGATCGATACCATTCTCCACGTTTAATTTCACGGTAATTTCTTTCGCTGCGTCGGTGTCGTTGCCCTTTTTTATTCTTAAGATCTATCATAAATCAAATATCTAACAGTTAATCATTGCTACCTAACCTGCAATTTTAAAGACACACGTACGAACTACTTTGCTCACTGCTGGAAAGAAAGAAGTCTTACGGGACGGTATAGAGGGGTGCTTCGCTAGACCGTTTATCCCCACTTCAGACGCTTTGTTGACGATCCTGCCATTACACTCTACATAGTAGTAGAAGAATTATAATTTGAATATTCAAAATCGTAAAAATTATTTTCATTTATGAAGTTATGTTAGAATAATCATTCAAGACTGGAAGTTGAAATACTTTCGAAACTATCCATAATATTTCTTATTCCTATACATATAATTATTATGAGAAATAAATACATTTTTATATCATATCGATACGTTAGAATTCTCTCTAGATTCTATGCCTACGCTAATACACCGAGGATTAGTATACGTGACAAATACCATGAAATAAAAGTACGTGTGAAAATAGGCGTTTCCTTCCGAATTAACCAATCAGACACCTTTCCAACAATGAACAGTACAAAGGATATGTTTTAACTTGTATTTTCTCGCCGATAGATTGAAAGATATAGAAGAGAAAATATATCGTAATAAAAATATATCCACGTTAAAAGAATATCGTGCAGAAAAAGAAAAAAAAAAGAAAATACATTTAAAAATGTGATTAAACTCACTTGTTTCTCCTTAAGTGGTTTGAGAAGTGACGCTCCGATCAACGAGTGCATGGATATGGCAGAGAGGATCAAAAGAGTCCCGGTGGTCGCGTAATTTTCCAATAATTTCGCGATTAAAAGGGGCATCAGGATAGGTCCAAGGCCGGTTAAAGTGACCGACAGTCCCATGGCGATGTTCCTCTTCTTTTGAAAATACGTGTTCATAGCGAGATTCGTGGCTGGAAACATGATACCATGCCCAATACCTAGAAATTAATTTTTCACTTTTTTAGTTCTCGTTTCTCGAAAATCTCTTCTTCGATCTCTTCTGCGAAGATGAAAAAAAAATGGAAAAATGGAAAAAGACAAAGGGGCGATTCATACAGCAACTACTCACCCACGATAATGCAATAAGTGATGATAATGGAGGGCAAGGAGATTGCGTATGCAGCTGCACAGATTCCAATGATGACAATGAAACCGCCGAGAAACGCGACTTTTCTGAACGTGAATCTCTTCATCATTGGACCGCTTATCAGACCCAGGCTACATGTGATCGTACCATTCAGATGAACAATTAACGATGTTTGTGTGGCGGTGATATCGAGTGAAAAGAAACGTTCTCTAAAGATTAGACCGAAAGTTTGTTGTATCGGAAGTATCGCTAGCTGCAACATATTTATTCCGATGAGTCAGATTTGCATGTATTTATAAGCGTAAGTTTTTATTTTTGTTTTTTGATAAAAGAAACTGATAATATCACAATAACTTAAGCAAATAGTCGATATAGTTCTTCTTTATCGTTTTAATTAATCGTGAAATTAACCGTTCTTTTTCTAGTAACGCGAAGAAAATTTGAGTAGACCAGTTTCAAATATTTTAATCCTTCGAACATTATAACAAAATACAAAACTGTTTTGAAAATACAAAACTGTTTTGAATATTTGAAATACGTATAAATTTGTATACATAACAAATTTGTTGACAAAATATTTCTATATCTTTGTGTAATCTCCGGAATAAAAACACGAACGAAATTGTCGAGTGTTGTTTCAAAAAAAAAAAAAAAAAAAAAAAAAAAAAAAAAAAAAAAAAAAAAAAAAAAAAAAAAAAGAGGAAAAAAATAGAGAGGAAACTCACATTGATGATAGTGACACCGGCGACTATTATCCACGCCCATCCTCTATCAGTTTCACCGTGTGACATCTTATCGATCATGATCATGAGATTAGTGTTCCTCTTCTACATCCACGTTACAAGTTTCTTGTACGGAAGGATCATGCAGAAGGAGATGTCGTTCTGCCTTCGTTTCCTTCGCCTCGCCTTGAAGCCGGTGGCAGACTGCAAACTTTAACGTGTCGACCGAAATACAAAGGCGGGATTGGACAAATGATAAGATACGCTGCTCTAAGGTTGGATAAGTGTTAGACGTGTACGCCCACGCACACATATACGAGTAAGCAAATTGTTTACAAGTTCCGCGAACATAAATCGAATCGAGATGTTGAATCGTTCCAATGCTCGATCGTTTTTCGTTCTTGTTTTTTATATTGTTGTGCGTTAAACAAATTTCTTCTTATAAAAAGTTACGATCGTGTGTGTAAAATTGTATTTTGTTATTAAAAAAAATGAATATTGTTTTATCAGAAAAGAGAATTTAGAAGGATCGAATCGAATTATAAGTATTTATATAAGGTATAACAAAGCAAAAGATCATTTCGTTGATCATCTGAGACAGATTAACTTCTCTTTGATCTTTTCGTATTTTACCGATTGACAATGATATATCGATGCTTAATGGACTTTTGATTAGATAAAATTTAGATTAAAAGTATTAATCATGAGATATTAATTAAAGAGGAATAATTAGTAATTAGTTTTTTTAATTAGAATAATTGGGAAAATTTTATTCGAAAGAACGAATAGAAAATCGTATTGCGTATTCTTTAAATTTTATTTGTATAAATTATTTGAAATTAAATATTGATCATAAATCATAGGATTACATTGTACGATTTTCAAGATATACAAGCTGTAAAAGATAATATGAAATTACGCAAAAAGTTTTTGAGAAGTTACGAGTTCTATATTTAAAAGAAATTTATCTATAATTAAACGAAAAGAAAATAGAGAAACGATTAACATTCTAATCGCACGATATCACTATCATTACACTCAATAAGATAATCATTTTTTAATAATACGAATTCGAGTGATTTAAAAATTTCTAAATACAATTATATTATATATTTATATCTTTAATATAAGTATATTAAAAATGGTACACGTGCTTCAATTACAAAGGGACAAAGAATACGATATTGCGCCATGCCATTTTAAACCTATTGTTTAATAATGGTTTGATGACCCCTCTACACAATCCATCCAATTGAGTTAACATCCAACGTTAAATGTGAATGATCACTTGGATATTTTCTTTAAATTTCAGATGAACGATTATTTATAGCGGTGTATAATAACACTGATATGAAATTTCATTATCAACAAATAAAATACTTCGTTGAGTAATATTATAAAAAGAAAAAAGATATCTACTTACCAGATATTTATACGAGAAGATATAATATTCCATGATTGTCTAGTTTTTCAGGTTTCTATGACTTCTTTCATTTTATATATCTTTTGGTAATTTATTATCAATGATAAAACAATTTGACATGCCATATTAATTTTTCTTTTCAAAATATGATTATAATAATATAACTAAAAAAAAAAAAAAGAACAATATTTAATTTCCGTAAACTTTACGGAAAAAGATTTTTGATAAAGATACATGTTAATTAAAATTTTTTTTATGTTATGAAAATAAGCGATAATTATAAAATGTAATGCGAACGCGAATAAAAAATATTTTATTGAATACATGTGATTTCTGATATTCATAATACTGATATTCATTAAAATATTCATGAAGGCGATACTTTTCAATACATTTTATTATTCATTGTTCACGAAAGTGTTAATAAAATAATGTTTGCAATAAGAGACTAATATCTCGAAGAAATAAAAAAAAAAAAAAAGCACTTACGATGGAACGAAATCAAGATCGAGATCGAAATCGAAATTGCGATTCACTATTTATCATAGCCGTGTGAAAACATGCGTGGAAAAAGGAGGAAGATTAAATTACAAATTGATTTATATTTTTCTATCGCGTTGTATTTCACCGGAAAACAAGTGTTTTTCCATTCTCGAATTTTTCGGTCGATATCTTGAAACGTCGTAAAAATATGAGCAACGCTCCGAGCTGCGCACTGTTTGTGACTGACTCGATGAAGAGAAGCGAGCCGATAAAAACCGGCTTCGTGACTCGACTCCGGGCCGAGGCTGGTCTTTGACTTTATTTACGCGCGCCATCGCGGTGTCTGCGATCGACTTGTATACGCGAGATAATATTTCGAATAATTGTAGTATTAGAATCGAAGTATGCGTTTTGTAAATTTGTCCTTTTTTTCTTTTTTTTTTTTTCTTTTTTTAAGAAAAGGACTTCATCTCTGAAATAGTAGTTGAGTGTTGTTGATTTAAAAATAATTTTTTTTTCAATTTTTTCTTTTCTGTTTTCGTTTTACATATTACATGCAATTTCTTGAGAATTTGCAATTAAATAATGCACGATGATTGAATTAGCATTTATGATTTCAAGGAAAACTACGTGCGATCTTCCGTGGGAAATTTTACATTTGTAAATATATTTTTTTCGTTTTAAAATGTTTATTAATTATTTATTTTCTTTTTATTCTAATAGAAATTTTTTTTACGATGAAAAATATTCAAATTGAGAACGATGGATTGATAAAAACTTGAAAAGATTTTTCTTTTTAAAAATATCAAATATTACATAAATTTTATCGAAACAGAGTATGTTTTATATGAAGAATTGAAGGTATAAAAAAAAAATAGGTTTTATGGACTCGCGCTTCTTTTTTTTTTTTTTTTATTTGTATTCATTTATATAAAATAGAAGATTAATAATTGAATATTTTATATATATCACGAAATAAAATTTGATTTTAAATATAGGATCATACAAATTATACAAACTATATAAATTCGTATAAATAGTATGGTATGATAAAATATCAGGTACGCATCTTTGTCTAAAAATATTGTATATTATAATATTATATAACCCAAGATGGACATCGTAATATCTGTAACAGAATTATGAATCTCGAGAGAATTGAAATAAATTATACTATTTAAACGAAAACATACGTAACTAATGTTAGATATTATATCGATTTTAATAAAATTTAAACGTTCATTCCATCGATACATCTTGTGTTTTTTTATTTAAATCGGATTTTTCTTTTCTAAATATCTTGCATATAAACTCAATACTCCACGTAACGAACATGGCAGATATTATTAATGTCATCACGTGTATACAAATTGCATAACTTTTACTGGCATCTCTGATGTATCCTGTAAGGAAAAAAAATTATTATTCGATAATTTATCATGATTCTTATTATTATGTTAAACCTACCGATCAACGGACTCAACATTATGACGAATAAACCTTTAGATACCATAAACATCCCAAAGGCACTTGGCAATTTGCTCAAGGAACAGTATTCGGATACGGTGAGATTTAAATTCACCAAAGTTGCGCCCCGTAAAAATCCTATTATCACGAATATCACTATCAAAAATGTCCCTTTCGATTGCGTCACCATTACTGGAAACCAAAACACGATATTAGAAGAAATCAACGAGCGAATAAATAAAAGATGATTTCTCGCGAACGTACTCGATCGTCCAATCCCAACCAATATGGAAAACGTCCAGAATACGATCCTTTTTTTCAATCTTAATCTATCGAATATGGTTGGGAGTGTGAGTCGGGCAAGAATGTCGGTGAACGCAGTTATCGATAAACAGGAAGCGATCTCGGCTTTGTTCATTCCTATCGACCATCAAGTTCCTTCAAAAGGTCCCAAAAAATTCTAAAAAATAGGGCACACGGTGGAACGAAACTCGAGAAAAAAACGCGATAAACGAAATCCGCTAACAAAGTTCGTTCGATCGAAGTTTCTTTCAAGGACAAGTTTGTTGTTGATTGTCGTTTCTCCTTCTTCTTCTTAAGTTTTATGGCACGATCTTTGTCGCTCGTTTATCGCGTTTTTTCGAGTTTCGTTCCACCGCGTGCCGTAGCTAGGATGTTGCTAGGCTAAACACATCCTTCGCTACTCTACTAATATTTATATTTTCTAGAAATTTCTTTCTAAGAATCACTTACCTATACTGGACAAAAAGAACGGCGTCATCAGTTTGAAGTTGGACTCGGCTACATAATATAAGCTCAGACCGACGATGATGTTTATATACACACCATCCTTAAATAAATCCAGATCGAAAGTCTCTTTTATTTTTCGTAACAACTCGTTTTCTTTGCCGTGTTGCTTTATCTCCTCGTACGTCGCGGTATTGTTTTCGCAATCGTTCGTACCGTATTCGACCTTTTTCGTCGTTTCGGCATCATTTAACCGTAGTAACGTGTCATTCTCTGAGGAATTATTTACGGGCTGTAGAAGGAATTTTGTTCAACCATTTGAAAAAAATCTTATCACGTTTACACATGAGATAATTAAAAAAAGAAAAATGAAAAAAAAAAAGAAAAAGCGAAGTTAAAGAAATTAGAAACGTAAGTACGATAAAAAATCTTACCTTCCCAATGGGTTTTGAACTTTCGACTCGAAGCGGACGTAATAAACAAGCGCCTACGGTGGAGTGCAATGCCCATCCTCCAACGATTAACATCGCGCCACGAAATCCGTAAGCAGCCAAAAGAAGATGTATCAACTACAAGAGGAGGAAGAAATCATCGATATAACATAATTTTGCATAACTTATCTGTTCACCTATTCTGAAATCATTCTGGAACAAAAGATAGATTTATATTCGCAACGAGAACTAATTCATCGAAGTACTTAGAAAGATTATCAAACTGGCTCGATCGATAATTTTATTTTCGTTATCAGTAAAAATTATTTATTCATATACTTTACCTGAGGCACTATCATCATGGCCAATGTTGTGCCTGCCATAGAAAATCCTACGGCCTGTCCTCTCTTTTTGTCAAAAAATGTGTTCAATGCGACGAAAGATGCTGCGATCGCCAATCCAGTTCCTAATCCTAATACGTACATTAATTTTATTTATTTAACGATGAATAATAATGAATAATCGGTTAAAAATTAACGAAAATATTGATTTTACAATATTGAGGAAGGATGTTATATAACTCTAGAATACGAAAAATATTTTAACTAGACATCGAATATTTAGATTAGATACGAATGAACTATCGATAAGAATATTTTTACATATAAAAATATGCAAAAAGCTTAATTAAATCTTCGTTTTTTTTTTGAGAAAATCGAAAATATGTGAAATGAAGAACAATTCGTCTTATATTTTTTTTTCGTATTTAATAGACAATTATACATATTTTTGAAAATTTATTAATTCGATTAATTTTATTCTGTATGTATCTTCGACTTATTTTTTTTTTCTCTTTCTATCCGTTTGTACAAATGTTAGAACAGTTGCTCGTAAAAAATTTGTTCCAAAGGCTTATCACCTACTTACCTCCCAAAATACTATAAGTGCAAACGATATGGATCATGCTATTTGCCCTCGATGTCAATATCAATCCGCTACAACTTAAAAGAGATCCAAAGAAAGATACTTGTCGATAAGAGTACTTTTTCAATAAAGGTCCTACCAAAAGACCTAAATTGATGATAAAATAAATTTATATTAACAATAGAATGAATTGATATATATTGTTCGTTAAATTTATTATTATTATTATTATTATTTTCATACCGGAAAAATTGACGATAGCGTCGAGAATGCTCATTATCAATGATGCTTTCATTGAATCTATATCGAGCTCTAAGAAAAGATCGTGAAAGAGAAGGCCAAACGAGGGATCCAAGGATCTTAAAGAGAGCTGGAAAAATTTATAAAAATCACGCGTATTTCGATGTTTTCTATACGAGTTATATAAAAATATAGAAAATAAAAATAAAAACAAGCTGATAGATAACAACGATAATCGAGATATAAAAATTGGCAGATAACAAAGGATAGAAAAACAAGCTGCTAACACGTCAACGGAGCGTGGAAATTGTACGAAACGTAGAATTTCTTCGTTTAAATATGCACAACTCTTCTCAAACTTGCGATAAATAATCATATTTTCTGAATTGTGAAAAAAATTTTCACAAAATCGCGAAAAACAAATCGTTTCGATTCTTTGAATATCGAAATTATACATAAAAAAGAAAAAAAATCAAGACGAATAATTAAAAAACGAAACCGAGAGTTAACTCACCGAGATAAGGCTGCTTCCGAAACACACTAACCACCCCCAACCGCCATCGATTCCCTTCCTTTTCGCCTTTTCACAATTCATCGTGTTCCAATTTTTTTTTTTTTTTCTTTTTTTCCACCCGCGTACGAGCTCGTCGGACGAATTCGACGAAAGTGGCGCGCAAAAGTTGAGCGACACCGCGTTGATTATTCCATATCTCGATCGATTATGTCGCCGCCTCTTCCATTTCACCGTTCGCTCAACGTAATCCGCGGTGTATATCGACACCGGCGTTACTCTTCTTCGCCTCGATCGGGCACTGGCGAGTCACCTGGCGCGCGCGCACACGCGCGTTCGAGCCACGATCAGTAGTAGTTGATCGGGTCGCCCCTCTTCGTCCCACGGAAAAATACTCGTCGCGTCGTCCTTTTCTCCCGCCACGTTTTGTAAAAAAAAAAAAGAACTTTACAATATGAAATATTTATCATTGGAATTGTGCGCGTATCTCGTTATGTTTCAAGGAAGGAAGGAAAAAAAAAAAGTTGAGCAAGCTGCTACTAGATATTATCGATATTCTCGTAGGAGGAGGAAGGAGAAACATTCTTTTTTTTTTCTTCTCCAAGTGTTCCAAGGAGTTCATATAACGATGAATGAATATAGTATTTTTGTGCGCGTGTGTTTTATCATTTTTAACAATAAATTTTTAATTAAGTAATAAACATCGTCTAAATTCATTTTCATTATATTACAATTATTCCGTAGTGTGATTAATCGGTTCCATATTTAATCAACTAATACAATACAAATAATGACACACTCGTCGTCGTGCCAGTGCAGTGATTACATTTTACATCGATATAACGATCATCGATTCGGAATTGAAAGAAAGAGGAAAAAGAAGAAAGGAAAAAGAAAACGTTTATAGATATATATTCAAAGTTTTTTCTCGTTCACATCATCGCTTCTTCAACTTCTTTCGTTTATTTTAAATCGATGTTTATCACTTTATGTAATTTTTAACGCCCGATAGAATACGTATGCATATAAATAACCAACGAGTAACCAGTTTTCTCATTAAATGAAAAATTATTCGAAGGAAAATATTTAAGGCATAAGGCAAAATTGTGTAACTTTGTTTTTATTGTCGTCGAAGCGATCGTTGTAATTATAGCTCAATTATAGATACCGAGTTGAGAGTTCTACAATTTAAGCTTGACTATGCGCATATTTGTATCTAAAACGAAAAAACAGCGCCTTCGTTTCTCTTCTTTTTTCTTTCTTGAGAGAATTAATAATAATTTTTTTTTTTTTCACAAAATCGAAACGTTTACTTTATCACGAAATTATTTTTTTCTTTCTTTCGATTCGAAGATTTTAACCAGAATGCCATCTAGTTTAGATGAAAAATCGAGAATAAAAAACGATACAGTTTTTCGAGAATAAGGACATCGTTAAACTATTTTGTCAGAGATACAATATTCCTTCAATGACACGTAACCGCAAGAAATCGATCGCGAAAGATAAAACGTGTACGCGGGGGAAGATTTCAATTCGTTCTTCAATCGATTCGTAGAATTTTTTTTTTTTTTTGGTTAACTTAAGGAATCTCGAAGAGAAACGCTTCGATTCGTTTAGAGTTGAAAAAAAAAAAAAAAATAAATAATTGACGTTAATTCGATAAGTCAATAATTCGTTTCAAGGAATCTTTTAAAAAGCTTGTTATGAGAGTACGTTAATCGATCTTACGTTAAAAACTTGTTTCATTGAAAATTGATCGAGCAATCTTATAATATTATGCACAAACAAAAAGAAATCTTACGATGGCAAACGTTGTTTCGATGACCAACTCTGGTCTCGCGTGGTCGATACACTCGCTATCATCGCTATCTTCCTCCGCACGATTTCATCGAAGATAGTGCGATGATAATCATAATCGATAAAGACAATCTCGTTCGTAAAAAAAAAGGATCCCTCGCGCGATCTTCAACGTTCCCCTCTTGAACGTTTGAGAAAGAAAACTCGAACGTGTCACAATATCGAAATGATAGTGATTCGAACAACTAGGAGCTAACAAAATTATTATTTTTTTTTCTAAAACAATATTGCTTTCTAATATAATTTGTTAGTTTCATTCAAAAGTGTATATAATTATAAAAATATGATTGAATATATAAAAAGAGATTAACATTGCGTTTAATTGATATAAAAGGAAAAAGAAAAATAATGATCGATATATAAAAAACATATAAATATACGAATATTTGTGATTTTGTGACCTTAAATAGCCAGACGTAGCAAAATGTTGTAGTAGGCAATTGATTTAGAAAGCACTTCGAATTTGAGAGACATACGATAAACTGGACGTTGAGAATAGAAAATCGTATTTCGAAGAAATGTTAAGGGAAAGATGATTATTAAAAAAAAAGTTATCCGATAGATACGGCCAGATATGGGTTTGAACAATTTAACAGAGTAATGATAAAAACGATAAAACTGAAAATTATAAAATGAAAAAATACTATAAGAAAATATATTGCATACCGATCGGTCAAACATTGAAAGAAATACAAAAATTATCAATTAAAGTTAGGAATATTATTATTAACAATAGATAGTTTAAAATTAATCCATAAATATCAATGGCTGGATTAAAGAATCCGCTAAGTAGCAAATATATCATGGTCGTAAACGTTAAAATCAATTTTAATATAGTTTAAAAAGAAAAAGTAGAAAATTTTTACTTTTCATACGTTCCATTCTTATCGCGTGGAACAATGTGGAATACATATTAAAAATCATTGACGAATCGTTACGTTGCGTGAATTTCCAATACGAACTTAAGTTTAAGTTTAATTTACAAAAAAAAAAAAAACAAAAAACTTATCGATAATTTATAACGATTTAAATTAAAAATAAATATTTCGAGATGTTATATCTGTGAAATTCAAATGCTTAATAAATTTACAGAATATTTCTCGACTATTGAAATGTGATCAATCGTTTCGTTTAATCTGTAAACATTTAAAAAGAGCATTTAAAATTTTAATGTATATTTGTTTACATATTAAACAATTATTCTTTATTCATTTGAAAATGAATTTTGCTCATTTAATATACATCATTCGAATCACTGTGTCGACAACGCACGCATCCTTTTTCCGTTTTGTTTATCGCGTCCAAAGTGGAGGAGGATTGTTCGAGGAGGAAAGGAAGCGTGAAACGGAGACTATCTTGTTACTTCGTTGGTTTCGTTTGTTCGACGCAATCGGTGGTGTCGCACCGTTCGCTTCCATCTCGCGTGGCACGAGAGCAACTAGATCGATTCCAGTCCAATTTAGATTTTTCGTCGCTTAAACGTCACGCTTCTGTACCGAATATTTATATTATGCCAGGTGTCGTGGGGATTTATCTTGTAGCCAAACTTTGTGCAAGTGGTAGAGTGGCACGATTTTCGCGAAAAATGTGCGAAAGTTGTGAATTGATCGAGGTTGTCGTAGTGGGTCTCGTTTCACCGTTCATTTTCTTCCATTTTTGAGAGGAATTCAAAATATCGAATGGATTAATCGACAGAAAGAACGAGAATGGATTACTGTTATTCGTTCTTCGATCTTCTTCGATCCTGTTTCCTATAATATATATTTCGAATCTTTTTCTTCTGTGAAAGGTAAGGAAGGAATTTTTCTTTTAAAAAAGAATTTTTATCAAAATAATCAACAACATTGATGCCTTCGACTGCTAGAGTATGGTTAGAAATGTAATTATATAAATGAAATAAATAAAATAGCGTCATAGCAAAAGATAAGCAAAATGCTCGGTCTTGATCCTCAAGGAAAAATAGAGAATCAAGAATAACGTACGAAACGTTGGATTTTGAAATTGTTTCGCGTCTAATTTTCAGGAATACGTACATAGTAAAATTATATACAGGTATTGGCTTAACACAATTCACAAAATTAAATATTTCAAAAGTAAATTGCATTATCACCTTCAATATTGACATTGTTGGTATTATCAGTGCTACTCTAATTTCTCTCCATTGCAACCGACACGTCGAGTCCACGATTCAAAACAACAGATTGAACAACAGGTACGTTAATTATTATTTATTTATAGAAAATATATGAGGAACGATACCTATTTAATTTCAATAGAAATAAACGCGCGATTAATTAACATACAAGAGAGTTGCTAAGAATATTTTTTGCCAATGGTTTGAATTACTTGCGGTGTGTGTGTATACAAATCGCTGCGGTTTGCAAAGCAAATTTATTTTTTTCCATCGCAAATGTACTTTGATCGATGCTTCTTTTTCTATATTTCGCTTTTTTAACAACCCATTTACCCAAAACCTAAAGCCAATCGGACTCTTAATTGAGATTTAAATTTTCTCGAATATAATTTTGAGAATGTGTTCACATTTCACAAGCAAACCGATCGATAGCGATGATTCTCATATTTAAAAATAAGAATATTTTTACCTTTAAATAAATTATTTTCAAAAAAAAAAGAAGTAAAAATTCGTTGCTAAATGAAACACTATATCTAGGAGGATGATACGTCGTTGTTCGTATTGTTGTTGTTATTTCGTTGTTATTATCTCGCCACGATAACGTTACCATTGCAAAATTTCATTTCATTTACGATCTGATCTCTCTCTCTCTCTCTCTCTCTCTCTCTCTCTCTCTCTCTCTCTCTCTCTCTCTCTTTCCTCTTCTCCTCTTCGGATGATTTCCTAATTCCTGCGATAGCAATATTTCATTCTCATTAAGGATAGGTGCTTAGCACGTTGACATTGTGTACATAGATAAGAAAGTCTTCGAATTGGTTTCTACCCTGTTCCTGCTCAGTTAAAAACCATCCGGCCGCGCTCCCACATACCCGTGTCTATTTATTGATTATTGTATCATTCATCCTTAACTTTCTTTTCATCGATATTTATATACTGGAAGGAGATTTTTCTCAATCGGTAAGACCTTCGTTTACTTACTTTATAATTTCGTTCGTTCGATGTCCTCTTACTTTTTCGCTTCCAACGTTTTTCTCAATCGGTAATACAGTCGTTTCCTTCAAAAATTCCTTCATTCGATTATCCTCGCTTCGAACGTTTGAATAAGAATCTTATTTAGCCAGCGAAAGAGAAAGAGAGAGAGAGACGAATCTAAATGGAAAACATATTATTAATATATATTATATAATATTTTTTGGTTTTAGAGGATCGAGGATAAAAATATGACGGTGACTAAAACGAATGGGAAAGCGGCGATAGAGACGAGAATTTTCAAGGAGGATGAGAAGGAGGTTCGAAATAATAGCGCGTTGTTATCTATGGGAAAGGAGAGAGAGGAGGAGGATGAAGACGAGATCACGTTGGAAGATTTGGCTCCCGATGGTGGTTGGGGATGGGTGGTCGCTGTAGCCATGATACTGATCTTTGTTAGTATTCATTTTCCTTCTTTTTCTTTTATTCTATAATTATTTTATAATAATTATAATATAATAATAATAATAATTATAATTATAATATATATTGCGATTATTTTATATATAACGAACGAAAGGAAGAAAGTTGATGTAAGAAGTAAGAATTCGATCGTCTAATCTTATGTTAACGAGATGTATCGTACACATCCGTTCGATTAATTTCGAAAGGAAAAAAATATTTGGAAGATTTATTTTTTTTTCTCCAGATTACGACGTTCGGGCCAACTTCGTCGTTTGGAATAATATTCGGCGATTTTCTGGAAGAAACTGGCCAAGCTGGTACCGCGATGACACTTTTCAATTCCGTTTTCATGGTCACATTCTCTATTGCCGGTAAGCGCATAAATAACGATGCGATCCTTTTTTCTTTCCCTTTTTATTTATCAACAACGAAACCGTTGTGACAAGTAATATAAATATATCCTCCATTCCACTGTCTCCTTGTTTTTATTAAAAAACAAAGTTGTCACAAAGTAACGTAATTTTGATCGCATAATACGATCTTAATACGTTTATTTGATATACGAAGGCGCCAGGAAGCGGAATCATATCTCCGCGGACAAATAAAGCGTTCCATTAATTTACAGCTTCGAATGCATATGCGCATTCAATGTCATTTCCTCAATGTTATTTATGACATAATGATAATTATAGAAACTGAAATTTTCTGATAAAAAGGAAAAATTAATTTTTACCTCATTTTGATTATTATGATAAATCTTGAGGGATAAGGATGTTATTTATTCCTTAAGTTTACTTGTTTTCACGAATTATTTATTATTTATCACATTTTCCAACGAGAGATATATTCATAAACGTACATATTCAACGCTGGAAATATTACTGATAAGCGTCCACCCACCGGCAGTTATGTAAATCTTATCCGAGTGAATGTTAGATAAGACTTTTTAATTTTAAAGATGAAACAAAGTTACATCTAATTGAGGATTTTCAATTATCAAAATAAATTATGCCAATGTTTCAAGAACGTTTCGTTGTTTCGTATATTCATTCCGCTTATTTATATCTTCATTCGTCTTCCTCTGTAAGAGGAATTTACAATTTTGTTCCTCCTATAATAAAATATTTATTTACGATGATCAAAAATATTTTTCATAATTATCGTTGTATAACGACATTTTCAAAAATTTTTATTAATTTGCTCTAGGTTTGATGACCAACACTCTGCTCAAGAGGTATTCCATGAGGCCGGTGGGGGTGGTAGGGGCGATGCTGTTCTCGTTTCCAAACGTGTGCCTCGCGTTCGTGCGGAACGTGTACGAGATGGCATTGATAAATTTCCTGCAAGGATTAGGGCTCGGCCTGATTTTCACCATTTGCAACACGAATTTCAACGCGTACTTCGTGAAGAGGAGGGCGCCGGTACGTAAACGAGGGGGGTCTGCGCGTCTCGGACAAAACTCGTATCCTCAATTTCTTTCTTTTTTTTTTTTAGACAAAATTCTTCTTCCTCGTTGTTGCAGGTGATGAGCGCGGCCCAAGTGATCGTCGGCCTCGGTGGAATCGCGTATCCCATATGCATCGAGAAAATGATGAGAATGTACGGGTTTCGAGGTAAGTGAAAAACGCGATTAAAAAAAAAAAAAAAAAGGAAGAAAAAAAAAATTATTCGCGACGATAAATATGATGTATGCATGTTCGTGATTTGTGTGGAGGGACCGCGTTAATGACGGGCGCCATGAGTTTGAACTCCATCGTCGGGATGACGATGATGCATCCCGTTGAGTGGCACGCGAGGAAACCGGAAGACGTCAGGGCGGAGAAGAGGCGGGCGAAAGAGGAGTGGAAATTGCGTGGTGTAATACCGGCGTCGGATCGTCGTTACAGCGATTTTATAACAGCTCCTGTAAAAACAAGATGCAGCAGCTTAACGAGCCTCAAGGACGAGAGTGGAAAACAGGTTCCGCTTTTGATTGAAACGTTGAAAGTAAGTTTTGTACGTGACGTTTGAATTCGTTGCTCTTGGGAAAAATATCGAAAAAGACGTGTTTACGGGAGGGGAAAATAGCGGGTATGCGATAAATACCTCGTGCGGCGATATAGGCGATGGGAAGGGCCGATAAACGGAAAATATGTATCTTAATTATCGATCGAGCAACTTTGGTCGACAGATGCCGCTCTACGGGGGAAAAAGGAAAAAAACATATTATTCGATGTTATCGTTCCGTATTTTTCCAAATGAATTTTTAATTTTTCGATTTCTGGTCGAGTTGGTAAATATAAGGATACATTTGATAACAAGGTTTTTGGGAAAAAAAAAATTTAAAGAATATAACGTGCTTCGGAACGAAAAGAAAGATCAAAAATGGAAAATTTAAATCGACGGAGCGGTATTCCTAGCAGCGAGCAAACCTCTCTACACGTACGACACGAAGGACAGCCGAGATAGTGGGGGTGCGCAGTGATTCTCAAACGGAACTGGGCATTAAATTGAAAAAGTAACTAATTACGAGTAAAGTTGTTTTAAATATAAATAACATTTATTTATCGACTATTAAATTTTAACATTAAAATCACTATGCTCACTATTATTCTTTCTTTCATGTACGTGTGCATGGAAATTCATATGCTCATCGTTTAAAAAGGATAAAGAAAAAGCGAATTTTCGTCTTATTCTTTGACTCGAAGAAATATATGTGTATATTTTATTTATTATTAAATTTATACGCGTTATATTTTTTTGTTAAATACAGACGCCAGCGAAAAGGGTAGCCTCGATATCCGAGATCGAAGACAGAATTTACAATCGAATGAAATCTAAATCGATGCGTGAATTGTTGACGCAACGATTATCCGCGTTTTCCTCGTCAAGTTTGGTGAATTTGGTGACGGGGATCGGAAGCCTAGGGGACACTAGGCAGCATCACTCGGACGGGACGAAAGTGAGGAAAATAGAGAAGGGAGTGCAAGTTGCGATGGAAGAGAAAAAGGATATCGGTAAAGGTTCTCTACAGTACGTGAAATTATTTTTCAACGTTCTCTCTTTTATTTCTTAGAATATAAAAAAAAAAAACTATATATAAAAAAATATTTTCGTCGTGATTATTCGCTTGAAAAAAAAAAATAAATAAATAAATAAAAAATTCAAATTTCCACGAAAGATGAGAAAGATGACGAATAAAAAAAAATATATATATATATATTTTCAACAATACAGAGAAATCTGGGAAGAACTTCTGGATGTCTCGCTTTTAAAGAATTGCGGTTTCATAAACATTTGTATGGGAATCAGTTTCGTGTTGTCGAGCGACTTCATATTTTCTTACCTTTTGCCACTGATGATGACCAACAGTGGTTACACGAAAAGTCAAGCGGCCTTGGCAATTACCGTCTGTGCAACCGCGGAATTAGTATCCAAGATTTTGCTCGCAATTTTCACTTTGTTGGTAAAAGTCAAAGCGAAATATATATTCTTCGTCGCTATGATTGGCATGGCGTTCGCAAAAATTGGTTAGTAAATTACACGTACTGTAAACGTAAACGTAAAAAAAAAAAAAAAAAATAAAAAATTCCACATAAATCATTCTTCTCTCTACACTTACATCCATCGAAAGATTTTATCGTTGCGAGAGAAGAAACAAATCATTAATTTTCGTCTAAAATTCCTATTCTAAATTAAATTTTTTATTAAACCATAAAATATATATATATATATATATATATATATATATATATATACATATATGAATTTATTTTTCAGGTTACTTAATATACAATGAAACGTTGGTCGGCATGTTTGTGATGATAACGATTATAGGAATGGTCAGATCATGGTTGTTGGTCCCTCAACCGTTAGTTATCATAGAGGATGTTTGTATAAATAAATTCGCCTCGGCGTACGGTATTGCCGGGGCTATTAACGGAATGGTTTCTATAGTGTGTGGCCCGATCGTTGGTGAGTATAAAAATCCAATGGTGATTTCCGTTTAAATAACCCAACAACAATAATGCACGCGAATATTAATAATAATAATAATAAAACAAAGATTTATTATTATTCGTCGAAAGAGGCGGGAGGAAGAGGAGAAGGAGGGAAGGGGGGGGGGGGGGGAAAGAATCTTTAAATGGTATTTCTTTCCTTTCAGGATTCATGAAGGATTGGACCAACAGTTTCGTCGTTTGCCAGCTCGCCCTTATTCTAATGAACGTCCTGTTCGTTATCCCGTGGGCAGTACAATTCTTCTCGGTTGATTTACTAAAGAGGAGGAAGGAACGGGCGGATAATAAAATTGCCGCCCAAACTTCCGCTCCCTTTTCTACGGATTGAAAGAAGGAGAGAGAAAGACATTGTTGTGCTCTGTATATATATATATATATATGTATATACATGCACGCATTTGCTATATATATTTTGTACAAAAGACGAGAAATTATTTTATTATTTATAAAAATATATATACTTTGTAAAATAGGATAAAGATTAATCATTGAAAATTATTATTCAACATCGAATGTGCGTAAATGAATAATTTTATTCAAACAATTTCAGTTCCCCACAACTTAAATGATAAATTTGTACGATTTATCGCGTTGATTGCGAAATGTGCATACACCGAACGATATAAAATAAAATTGGCAAAATCCCTCCTCTCTTTTGTTTCATAGTTCGATCATTATCCGTGATCTGATCCGATTTTATTTTCATTTATAGGATAATGTCGACCTTCGATCAGAATTTTTTCTTCGATGAGGATATTCACGAGGTTCCTTCAAACCTTCAACCTTCGAGAACATCTTTCGTGCGTTATTTACCCCTTCTATGCGTGATTTGACGAAAAAAAANAAAAAAAAGAAAAGGAAGCAATTCAAGTCGTAAATTATCAATCTCGATTGGTTTGGAAATTGCCGATAAATTATTTATCGGCGAGTTGTAGCAAATAAATAAATATATTTTATTCCGGGTAAAACTTCATGTCGTATCTCGATCGATCGCGACATCACGTTCGATGAAATGATACGATTAATTAACCTCGAATTAATTAACGTCGTTATATCATTGATATAACCTTTTTTTTTTTTTCTTTTTTTCGTTTCGGGGGGAAACGACAAAAAAAATGGGAGATCCGGTTAAGGGGAAAACGTTGTTCGTGAGAATGTGCTCGATGTGTCATACCGTTGGTAAAAATGAGAAACACAGGGTAGGTCCGAATCTTTTTGGAATATTTGGCAAAACGTGTGGAAGTACGTATATAACATATATATTTAAATATATATATGTATATATATATATACATATATATATATATATATCTTTTTGTTCCCTTTTCTTTCTTTCTTTTTTTTTTCTTTTATTTACTTTTCTGTACTTTTTTGAGCAAGAAATAGATTGGTATACGAGTATTGTTACGGACTGTTGATTCCAGCCTCGGCCGGATTCAATTACACCGACGCGATGAAGAACAAAAACATCGTGTGGAACGAGACCACGCTGGACGAATATTTACGTTTACCGAAAGATTTTGTTCCCGGCACGAGGATGGTGTTCAACGGTATTAAAAAAGCTGACGAGCGTAAGGACGTGATCGCTTATTTAGCAACGTTGAAGTGAACATTTTTGTAAAATTGTCTTATATCTCCTGTTGTGAAATATATTGTACAGTGGTGTTTCGAAACAACGTATATACGTAACAGCAGTTGCGGAGTGAATAAAATAAATCGAGGAAATTTTTTAAAATCCACTCTTTACCGAATATTTTTTATTATTATTATTTTATTTTTATTAATAGAGTTTTTAGTCTTATTTTAACGTTGTTATCGTTAACTTTGTTCGTGCAAAATCGTGCAAATGGATCAACGCGTTAATTACAACACTTTATATGATTAAAATTGGCTTCTAAAAATAGTTTCTATAAATGCGGAAATTTTTCTCGTCTCGTCAGGAAATTTTAAAACCCATTAACTCGCATATCGAGTTTTTATATTATTTTCAACATGTTGTTTCAACTTTGTTCGAAGAATCGTGCAAGTGGATCGACGCGTTAATTATACTTTATATAATTAAATTAATACATATTACAATTAAATTATAATTAAATTACAGTTTATATGATTAAAATTGGCCCTGTCCAGGAATGTACCAAAGTTGTTAAACGAAGAGATTATTTATCAACCGCGTACGATTATAAAAATTCAAAAAAAAAAAAAATTTTTTTAATCATGACGATGAAATTCATAGAAAATACATGAAATACATTGATCGATTAATAATAAAATTAATCCAACACTCCTCTGACAATTTCAGCAATTTCATTCGTTAATGTGATTTTGGGTAAAAAAAACGTACGCTGATTTAAAAATCTTCTTTTCCTTTTTTTTTTCTTGAAATAATTTTTTATACTTATCTCGATATGCATAATCTCGATGAATTTCAAGAAAATTTGTGCAGGTGGATGAGATCCTGAAATACATGCAATATTTTTAATTTTAAATTAAAAATTTTTAAAATTCTATTTTTATTCCATTGCAAATATTTTTCGTACTTTAATTCAAAATCTTTTCCTTTTTCCTTTTCTCGAAATAATCTTCCATATTTATCTATCGAATTTCAAAAAAATTATGGGATCTTGAAATATACGCGCGATATTTTTATTCCGTTGTTAAATAATTTTCCAATATTTATATAAGAATTCAATAAGAAATACCGTGTAATAATACACGAAGACGGTTACAAAAAAAAAAAGAAAAAAAACGATAACCGGTGGATCGTTGGTGTGGAAAGCGAGAGCACTTGCGGAAATGACGTAGCAACACCGCTTCACCCCCTACGTGGAACGTGTCCGGAAATCGACCCTAGAGGATAACGAAAAAAAAAAGAGAGAGAGAGAGAGAGAGGGAAGAGGATCGGATGGACGGAGAAAATGAGAAAGGAGAACTCGCCCTCGTCGAGGAGCGGTTGGTTGAGCGGGACCAATTTCACGAAAATTACGAAATTATCGATGTTGTGTGGACGTGAAATCGACCACCCCTTTTATTATTGCTACCGGTTTTGCGCACACTTCCTGGCCAGCCAACTGATTACTCGCAGGGCCGCCACGCATTGATGTAAATAAAATTAGTTTCTGAATTATCGATCGATCCGTTTCTGAGAATAACGTTTCAAAGCGAATTCGTGAATAAAGCGAATAAATGAGTTGGATAAATAATAAAATGTATTTTAAATATTTCGTGAAAAATTGTTACAGAGGATAGAAATTGAAAAAAAAAAAATGTTTGGTTGCCGTTTGGGAATGGGAATTTATTGTGTGTAAATGTAATAATTTAACATAATATGTATACATGTAGCGAGTGACCGAGTTGAAAAATGTCTATTGTCTCTATTGTCTCTGAGGATAAAGAAATTTTCTGCTCCATGTTAAAAAAAAAAAATATCTTGCCTTCGATAAAAATTGATTAGCCAATTTATAATCATATTTATATTATTGTGAATTCATACTTAAAAATCATATTCCATAAAAGTTGGAATTCTAAATTTTTTTCAACTGTTTTTTCCAAGACAGTTCACAATTGTAATTACAAATTAAGGCACTTTGTATTTACAAAACATATTTCTGTCGTGGAATAATTTAAGATTGGAGACCTTCCTCTACCCTTTCCCTCCCCCCCCTCCTCCCCCTTCTATACAACGTGGACGAACGTGTTTGTGCGTTTTACAATTAAATAAGGAGAACTAATTATTACATCGTAATTAACTTATGTTCTCGTTATACAATTAAATTATTAGAAATAATCAAGTACTTCAGACTGACGCAAAATTTACAAATCTCCATTTTTTCATCGCGAGGATAGAATTACGCTTAACATATTGTCGGGTGTATTTTTGATTTAAGTAAAACTTGTTTCTTGTCTTCAGATTGAGAATAAGAAAATTGTACAATAATTCTTGTTTGAATTTTTCATTTCTTTCTTAATGCATATACCGACCGAGACTTATACAATAATTAATTAATTAATTAATTAAATAATATCGTGGGAATAATATTTTTCTTCGTTGGCACGCAAAAATTATTCTTTCCTTCTCCAAGCGTATTGCCTTACGTGATTCCTAACATCTTAATGGACGACATCGTACGATATAAATAGTAAAAATGTTTCTTAAATAGTCGTTAAAAAGTATAAAGTAGAAAAAATAGTTTTATCAGTTTAACACGATTCATCTTGAGTCTTACTTACTTAAGGCACTTTCCTATGTACATATTTTTTTTTTTTTTTTTTTTTTTTTGATTTATTAATATTATTTTCTATCGATTTTAATCTAACAATAATACCAAGATCTATTGTTACATCTTGAACGTGAAACTGTATCTTTTTTCTTTTTAGAAAGAGATTTATTGCTTGCTTAATTGTTTTTTTTAAATTTTAGAAGAAGAATCTTTTAGAATTATAAACACCGCCTCTGGTTCGTTTGATTATATTTCTTGAAATTTTAACAAATACTCCTCGATGCGAATAACATGGATAATATTGGATAAAATTAATTCGTCAACCGTTTATATTTTAACATACATACAAAATTATTCGTTCGTAAATATGTTAAAATCTTATTAAACAGCGACTTAGTGTTTGAAATCGATCAAAATTTTGTCAAGGCGGAATTTTCTTCAAATGATATTTAATTGAAAACAGTTTCGCGTGTATATAATTTTTAATTTTATGCTCACACTAGTTTAAAAAAAATGCTAGACGTATTTATGCTTCTTTGTAAGAAGGCCACTTTTAAGGCACAATTGAAAAATATTTTGCAATCCTATTCATTACATCCTATAGTATCCATGGAGCAAGTGTAAAAAACCGAAGGCAGTGCCATCTTCTGTGAAAGTACTTTACGCGGTAAGTACTGATTGTCCGTTAACCTCAAACTGCCACTTGAGAAACTTCATCCCGAAACAATTCTTCGTTCCACGAGATCACCGAGGACGAATCGTGGTATCCGAGTTTCCACGACGAATCTGCAACAAAAAACACAGGAGAAACATAAATTCGACGACGATATTTATCCCTCCGTTCGAACCCCTCGAAATTCTCCTTCGTGTGATTTATTTCGGATAAACGTTATTTCCGCGTATTCTATCCCCGAGATTCTTCCGAGGGAAGGAAGAGAATTTCTGTATGACCCACCTGGCTATTGTATCTCATCCACCATCGATCAGGGAAGATTCTTATTTACCTGGATCAGCAAGAATTAAGCGCGGAAACGGACCAACTGATCTTACGGACACTCCGATATAACCTCAAAGATCGTGGGAAAAGTATATATGTAGTAAGTATACGTAAAATCACAAAAGTTTTCATCCGATGAGTTTTCGTACTATTCAACGACGATTCAATTTGATTTCCTTCTTTTAAAATTTAAGATTTTGAGATTTTAAAAAAAATGATTTTTATATATCATTATAAATGATAATTTTCTGCTGGCAAATTATATATGTATTAAACACAAAGAAATATACATGTAGTAGAGTGTACGATGATATATAAATTGGTGCAAAATGTAATAAGCTTATCGGGATAAATTTTGAATAAAAATTAATTTAATTAATAATGTTTTTTTTTTCTTTGAAAGTTTCACGAGCTTGCATTTCACGAAATTGCAATTAAATAAATTCAATTATGAGCGCAAAGAGGTAGTCCTTGGAATGTATGGCTTTTAGATAAAACGAAAAATACGAAAAAAACGTGGCTCTGTAAGGACATTCGTTTATCGTTTATCAGGGCGTGACTGGAAATCGCTTTTAAGAGCAACATTTTAAAACCAAGAGAAACTGGTCTTCAGATGATAAAGCGTCTGGAACTTTTCTTTTATTTTATCAGGCACTAAATTTTATCCGTGTGCGTGTCGCACAGAAATCTGGAAATCGACGATTCGAGAAGATGTTCGATATATTTCATACCTAATTAGTACCTACTTCGTTTATTTCACATTTCTATATATATTTTCTAAACGATCCAAATCCATTTCGAAAGTAAAGAACATGCTCGACTTGCGTGTATTATTAATAATGTATTAGAATAAAGTTAATTTGCAAAAAAACTGGGATTTTATTTTTGGCGGAAAAGGTTTTTTAATCTTTTAAAACAGTATAATCGGTTTGAAACCGTCGCCGATACGAACACTGTCGCATTGTCATGCTGGTAATGTTTATTGATAAGATACACAACATGCGGGTTACCAGCATAATAGACCTTTAAATTCTTTTGTTCCTCGCGAACCAAGTCGAAGGAGAAGAAGAACAGCGGACCTGCATGAACCTTGCAACCATTTCGTTTTACGACGCAGTTTAATTTCTTTTAAAGAGGGGGGAGGGAGAAGGAAAAAACAACGCGAGCATCTTTCGCGCGGAGTTAAAGCAAGAAAAAGAAAGAAACAAAAATTTCGTCATTTTAGACCGAATTCGTCGAGCCCACGCTTATCTTTGTAAACACGCGAAAGGAATAAAAATTGAAACGAGAAGCGACGCGTAACGCATAAAAATTAATTAGCCGCGTCATTGTCCAACGGTGAAACTTAATCGTGTATATTTTTACTTACGGTGTGAAAAATTGAACACGTTTTGCGATTTCGCTACACTTTCCACCGAATACATTTGTAACCACGATGTAAACGTAATCACGCGTAGTATGTCACGCGTCTCGAAGAATAATTATCTCGATTTAACAAGCGAGGGTTAACCTGCTACTTGATACTTTTTTATCTTGAAAATTACATCGAACCTGTTATTTTTCTCGCCGTAGAAGAAAAATAACAATATTAAAGCACGGTTAAAAGTTTTGTCCAGTTTGCACGGAAAAGCTTCGTGCGCGCAAACACGTAGGACACTACGGCGCAAAAATCGCACTGCGCGCTTTGTTAAAATGCGCGTGTATCGGGCCTAAGGGACCGAAAGAAGGTCGATGGGCTGGCGTTGAAACGGGACGACGATATCAACGTGACCAACGGGAGCCAAGGAAGGAATTTATTAAATTAATTTGCCGCGGCGACGCATCTCGTAAATTTCGTAGATGACCTCACTTTATAATTGTCGAGAATTACTCGGCCGCTCTCGTTCACGTTCGTTCGGAGCTCGCGTGCGAGAAACCTTTTACTCTAGGGGAGGCTCGCGCGTTTTATCGCCACTTTCTTCGAGGAATACCGTGTGATATTCGGGAATTTCTCGTCGCTCCCTGGATCGCTTCGGGGATCGTAAAAACGAGAAAAGAAAGGGGGGGGGGAAGGCGATCGCTCGGTGTTCGCCAGAAGCGAAACATCGTTTTAATTTGTATGATTGACGCACGCGGGGAATTCGTTTTAAGGCCAAGGTAATTGAACGGGGCGAGCAAGGAAAAAAAAGGAGGGGGGAGGGGGGATTTTACAAGAGGCGCAAGAAGGCAAACACGGTTAATGGTTCGTTTTAAAAGGTGAACCGTATCGAAAAAAGCTACGGTCAAGAGGAGAGGGAGAAGGAAAGGGAAGGGAGGAGAGAGAGAGAGAGGGGGGGAGCGAAATGAATTGAAAATTAAATTGCGTGCAATGTGAAAGTTAACACGTTGTTGTTTTGCCAAAACTTGCGAATTTCGAAAAGATCTTTAACATACGATAGTGGAAGAATGTTCCAAATATGATCGATCATATCTTGGTTGGATAACGGTGATTTTGCAAGTTGGCCGAGGATTGAAAAATCGAAGAAAACGATACGAGCACGCACAAATATATTATTTGACATATGGTAGTCGTTCCAGAGAAGCTTCTTAATAATCCAAGTGCTATTACCCATATGGCTTTGAAATTCGAGTGTTTCCACTCTTTAACTTAAGTTCGATCCAACCTTATATTTGAGAGCACTTTTAGTCTATTATATAATGGATAATAACTCGAAAAGGATAAAGGAGACGTATGAAAAATTTTCTATCTATCTATCTATCTTTCCAAATTTTGATTTTACTTTTTAAACCGTTTCCTGTATTCTTCCCTTATACACGACAACTGTTTCCTTGCCGCCCATATGTTAAAAATACGAAAAACTTCTGTCGCCTTATGGCTGTGTCCCGAGTGCCGATACGTGCACGTGTATCAAACATAATATCTTACTTACTACTGTATGGCACGTGGGTTACGAATGTTTCCAAGGAAATCATGATTTCTATTTATAACTCGACGACTGCGCGCGCCCAGCCGATCTTTTTTTTTTTTTTCTTTTTTTCTTTTTTTTCTTCTCTCGATTTCTGCATCGCGTCTTCGTCGACCTCTATTCCGTTCCAAGGGCGAAAATATTGTAAAAAAATTATAAGCTTTCGCGCTCATTTTTTTTTTTTTTTTTTTACGATAATTAATACCTTTTTTATTTTCATTTGTTTATCTTATTATAATATTATAAAATTTTGAATCAAAACGTAATAGATATACACTAATTTCTAACGAAACGTTACATAACGAAAATAAGATCTCTCGAAAGCTGAGAAAATAAAACACGTAGCCCGAGGGAGGCGAGCATATGCGTGATCAAGGCAAAGAGAAACGGATCAATGTCAAGCAATTGGAAACCACGAAGATTGGGAAAGGTCTGGTCGAGAGATATTTCGAGGAGGATACCTAACATATGGCGAAAATGGTGAACCACTTCCGTTTGTGGGTGAGCACTTTTATAAGGCGGCATGAGAGAGAAAGAGAGAGAGAGAAAGAGAGATAGAGAGACAGAGCTGATGTGAATGTAAAATTTCCCCAACACGTGTTGCTTCACAGTGCGCTTGACAGTTTCTTTCCTTATCACCGGTGTATAAGCACACTTGAGGATAATCTTATCGCGGGATAAATATTTTAAGTCACTGGTAAGTAGCAGTGATAGCTTCTTTTCCAAATCGATAAAAATAATTCACAACGCGCGAGCGCACATTAATTTGAGCGCAGCTTTTAATTCCACGAAAATTAGAGAGAGGATTCCCGGCACACGCTTTGCAAAGTGGTTACACGCAAACGCGTGAAGTAAGTTTATTTTCGTGGAGCACGTGTTCGAAAGGAAATGCCGTACACGAGTTTCCACTTGGCGACGCTTCCTTCGATGTAATTGTCACGTGCCCGATCAACAGCCCTGTCGGTTCAAGCCACTTAAAGCACTCCAACCGAGCACTCCTCTTGCCCGGCCCAACGTTGCTTTTTACGAACGTGAAACTGTATCGCGCGAGTCTCCATCGTCGTTTATTGCCTCGTTGCCACGATCACACACGTGTAACTCCTGCCCCCCCCGATCTCAATACTGTGTCATTTCGTCACTCGTCGTCGTTATCCTTCGACGACATCATAAGAAAGTAAGTTTTTGTAACCACGTTTCTTTCCTTTCTTCCTTCCTTCCTTCCTTTCTTCGTATGTTTTAATTCGACCGAACGAACAACTCGAGACGATTTTCTATATGTTCGGTGAATTTCTTATATAATCAAAATGATTTCACATACGTAATTAACGTATAAAATTTTTATATTTTAATATTTTGCGTATCTTTTTATGTATAAAGAAAGAAAATTTGTTGAATTGTTAAACTTTATATATTGTTGTTTTGCGTGATATTTTATAAAACAATTGAAAGATGCATTCTCAAGGCAAGTATCACACAATTAAAATGTCTTTCATGTTTCTTATTTCGTTGAGAGCAAATCTTATAATCCTTCTTAACTTCTGTTAACATAACGTACCCTCATATTCATTTGACTGTTATACTTATTTTTTACATCGCCTTTCACTTCATCTCTGCTTCTCTTCTCTTTATCGTCAATTTCTTTAATAGAAATAATTTCACTTGAAATAATCATTATCACATTTTATGCTTACAAAACACTCAAAAACTTTGAAATTAATATTCCTATTGCCACGATTGTTAAACTATTCCCAAAATACAATCCGATCCGCGATTACGATCTTTTGAGATAAGAAAATCTACCTATCCGACATTATATTATTCCACACATGATAAGATTATAAAGTGCTTAAAAAATTCGTATTCGTGAAATATCGATAAAAAAATCAATCATAAATAAATATCGTCGCTGATAAAAAATATTCGAATCCAAATAATGCCTGAGAGTCTGGCATTCGAACGAGAAAGTAAGTAAAATTCGAGAAAAAAACGAGGGAAGGGTTTTTATAATAATAAAAAAAAAAACGCACAAACCTTTTTATTAGACGTGCGTGAGCCGTTGCGTGTGCTGCTGATGTACTAGCCTGCCCTGCTCTTGTTCCCACCAGCTGACGACGTCCATGAATTCACCGGATTCGGTGATCTCCTGCTTATAATACAGAGCCCCAGAAAAGGTTTCCGGGCTTGCCGCGTAAACGGTGGCTGCGCCCTCTTCGCTGTCCCCGCCGCCGCTGTACGGCGACAAAATTTGGGGCTCGAGATTCTCTTCATTTTGCCCGTAATATTCGGACGGTGGAGATGCTACCGAATTAGGGGAGAGCCGGGAGAAATTTTGCGCGTTGGACGAAAGTGTCGTCCTCGGCTCCAGATTCTCCTCGTCGCCTATCGAGGACGCGTAGTAATCGTGGGGCGATGGAACTGCGGTGGTTCGATTCGGTGATAATCTGCAAAATTACGGATAACCGATCGTAAAGTAAAGATAACGAGTTGGGCGATAGAAATCGATACGCGACGATATACAAAGAGAGAAAGAAATTACTTGGAACACGTGTTTTTTCGTTTCCCAGCTTCCTCATCCTCCTCCAATTGTTCACCGTCCTCGTCCTCGGCGGCGAGGACGTCATCCTCGAGGGCGAGCCTCTCCCCAGAACCGTTGTGACTGGATGAAACGACGCTACTGGTGGGCGATGGGACACACTGTGTCGCGGCAATCGAGTTCGAATCGTATTCGACACCGTCAGCCTCGGCGAGCAACTTTTGAAGTCCCCTAATGTACTCCACGGCCATTCGTAAAGTTTCTACTTTCGACAATTTCTTGCCCCTGTCTCCGTATCCTGCGGCGATGTGGCTCGGAATGTGTTGTCTCAATGTGGCGAATCCATTGTTCACCTGTTTCACTCGATTCCGTTCGCGCGCGTTCCTTCGAGCGACGGCAACAGGCGGCGGTTGCCCGTTTTTCCCGTGTTTTTTCAATCTGGATGGGTCGTAAGGTGGCAGCACGGTCGCCGAATTCGTGTTCGCGTTGTTGTTATTATTCTTCGGCACTATCAGATGTGATTGATTCCCGATTATATTGCTCTCGTTGTCCTGCAGAGTTCGCAATAACATCAATTGCTCTTGATCGTTCCCGTTTATTTGTACTCTGTTACAGAATACCGTAACACCCATAGTAGTCATCGTGATCCAATGTTCCGTTTTAACGGCCGAGCAGGAAAGCGTGGTACGCTGAACGCAACGATAATACTGTGGTGCGAACGAGACGATCGTTGGCAAAATCCAACGTTCTCATCGGTCTTCTTCTTTCTCGAAAGGAACGCGCAAAAGTCGTTCAGCGTGAAATTTCAACGCTACGAGGAGATATTCTCTTTTAAAAAAATAACAGGTTTCGATTGTGTCGATGCGCAGAACGAGTTTGTGTCGTGAGAATAGCGAAGTGGACGAGTAGCTTATCGACTTTAATGCCTTTCGAGGACGAGTCTAATTGATAGACTTTATAAATAAAACTCGCTCTCCCTTTGAAAGACAAAGATGATTATCAGAGACAGACGGTTAGACGACTGTTCGATTTGATGTTTGTATCTGGGTCAGAATATCTAGCGAGGAACGGGATGTCGAGTATCATCGATGATTTATTATTATAAGTAATTATCTCGTTTCTTCTCGTTTAGAAAAATATCATTTCGGCACAAAGTTAAACTCGTGTTGAATTTTTAAACGATGTCGAGTAACGACGAATTCTTATCTGTTTTATATAAGAAGAGAAAAAAAGAAATATCGAAATTTTTCGATTTTCTTACGATTTATTAACAGGTACGATAGCGTGTTATCTTTCTGATCGAAAAAGAGATATTATCATAAAAAACAGTTTAATAAGAAACGTTTGCGATCACGATCCGTGGCGACGAACGAGCGGCTTTGTCGAAGCTTTCGATATTCCACGGGTTCTTTTTCTACCAAATGACGAAGCTGATGACCCGAACCAAGATCCAATTGTCTCGTTGTCGGTCACAACGACTTAAGTAAAGCATGAGGTCACCGTCTATTCTTCTCCACGACGGTCGTCGACTCCTTGGAAATTATTCCTCATAATCCAAATTGTAGTTATTTTACGAAAATATTTAAAAAAAAATAGCATATCGAAAAAAGATCAACACTCGACTCTTCTGTTCGACTCTTCTATCTCTTGTTAGCGTTTGAAATTGTACGTTGTTCGAGCGTCGCGTGACGTTTCAATTAGAATCGAGATCTTTGAATCGTATTATCACAATATAACTGAAGGAATTGTATAGCACCAGTTAAATGCTTATTTACAAGGAAAGCACTTTAACGATTTCAAATAGAGAATTCAAACGATCTTAATGATTTATAACGGTATGAATAATCATCGTTTAGATTTTAACACTTATTATGAATCGATTTATCTATTTCGACTATTAAGGCACTTATAACCAATTTTCGTTGCTCTGTTCATAAGATTAAGGTCACTCGTTACTGAAAATTTAAGGCACGAATCCTTTCGGGAGTTAAAACGGTCAAGTATCTTGAGATCAATATTTCGACAATGGTCGTTAATACTTTCGGAGCACCATACGAACTTTCTTCTTTGGCGTAATTTCAACATTAAAATCTGTTTCGATCTATAACTCTTCTCGAGACGATGTTTGGAATCACGATTCTTTGAAACTAGTCGAAAATCGGATCTATTACACAAATATAACTCCATTCAGTCGGCAAATTTTTCAAATTTTTTGATCCAGCATTCGCTACCGATCAGAGTAGCGTCGTTTCGAACTGGACCATTGCGTCGCGGCTCGCATCGCGTTTAACTATAAAATGAGCGTAAAACGTGGACGAAACGTTGCCACCCTTGATATCTCGCGACACAGAAGCGACACAGATAGATGGTATAGCGTATAAGAGAAAAAAGAGTAAAGAAAGGACGAGATAGTGGGAGGTGTTGAGCACGCGCCGTAGCCAATATCGCGCCTAACCAAACCAATTCTAAAAAAACCAATTTAACAATCCCGGTCGGTAATTATGACAAAATTTTACAAAAGTCTTTCACTCTTACAAAAAATCCATAGTTCGATCTGTGTGTACAGAAACAAGTACAGAATTCACTCTCACGTACAAAACACACTCGCGAGTCACGTTTTTTCCTTTCTCGTTTCAAACATTGGTTGGATCCTATCGAATCGATCGAAAGGATAGTCACTGGATCCGAATTCCTGCGGGTTAACGAAGTTTTCTCGACACCGTAGCCGACGTGGTCTTCCCGGTATCCGTCATCGGTCACTTTTTCACGCAGCTATTCCCGGCGTATAACAGCTCTCGTTTCTGATCAAACCTCCGTGCTACGCACCGCATGGCGTCCGCGTTGAGAATGAACACGGACATCCGATAGATGGGTTAGGTTTCAGCATTTTGCCGCACTATACTGCCAGACGGAGGGCTGGTTTTAAGGGGCGACGCCAGGGGGGGAATTAGGACCTACGAGAGACGGAAAGAACGCGATAGAGGGAGCGAGAAGGACGCGAGGGAAACGCGTGTTGTGCAAAGAGGAAGAGGTGGTGGGGATTTTGAGCACGCGCCGCAGCCCCCTCGTTTCTTCTCCCCCGGAACTGAAAAGGGGGACCGTGCGCGCCATATGCCCGGGGGGAGCGCGTGTGCCAGTTGCGTATGTACTTTGCGCACGTATGTGTTTTACGTCTATGCGACTGCGCGAATGCGCGCGGAACCGATCTATCGCCGAGCAATGAGAACCAGCCATACGTTCTTCATAGCGGTCGATCCTTCGCTACTATAGACCCTGTTATTTCGAGAGCTTTGTGAAAATGAATCCCAGGACACCCACTGCAAGAGAAATGTTCCGGAAATTTGCGGGGGTGATTTTTAGAATGACGAATTCGTCCGTGGAAATTTCGCGTAACGATTATACCGAATGTAATTTAATCTGGGCTAAAATTACGATACGTTAATTATTGGATAAACGATACGATTTGCTATTAATTTTATTCGTCTTTTAAAAATCGATATATATAATACGCGTATCGGAATCTCCGACGCAATCTGGTATTTGTGGATTATGTAAATCCATTGGATAGATATTTAAGCCGCGGAAACACATTTTGTGATCTACATTTCCGAGTAGCAAAACCGATTACACTTGGCCGAGTTTACATATCAAGTTTCCCTCGCCAAAAAGATTCGAGACCAGAGAAAGGATTATTTCACTGATCCGATTTCCTCCGATCCCTTTGTATATCAACGACGACGGTCGCGTATAACGAAAACAATTTTTCAAAGCATCTGTCTATCGTCGTTTGACGAATGATAAAGAGAGATACTTTCTGGTAGTTCCATCCTTGGATTAAGTCTTTGTTTCTTTTTTTTTTTTGAAACGAATTCAAACGCGTGCGCGCATTTTTCAACGAATTTTACATAGCATAAATAACGAAATTTATGAAACAGATGAATCGATTAATTCACTTTTTCGCGCTATGCGTTTCACAGCGCAGAACAGGAAGAACGACGTTCGGTTTGCCGCGGAAGTTTCGTGTTTCGGGGCGGTGCACTTGCGAAGGCCGGTAATGTTCCAAGCTTAAAATAGAATTTCCACTACGAAGTTTAAAACTTTGACCATAACCGAGGAGAAGGTTTTTATCGTGGAATCGGATTTTTCTTAGCAATTTATAATTAATAAAATTAATAAAACTTTGATCGATAGATTTTCTTTTTTTCAATTATTTTTCGATCACGATTATTACGTATGATTATTAATTAATTAAGACACGAGAGTTTCCCTTTCGAAGGACGGTTTTATCAAGGGCGGTTTCACTCGTAAATTGCGATTGGGACAAAAAAATGGAACGAGAGTGCATCGAATAAATTTTCTCACAATTCAGCCAAGGGTTCGTTACTGTATCGCAGGAACGAAAGGTTCGGAGGGATTTGGCCTAGATCCAGTTTATATTCTGTATACCTAAGCCTGAGAGCGCAACCCAACCCCGTATAATGGAGGGCGCGATCCAATTTATAGTGTGAAATATACGGACAACGTGCAATCCCTTACGGTTATCTTATTATAATAACAATTTGCGACTAGGGATTTAGCGTTAGAATTTATGTGAATTCAGTTCATCCGTTGTGTGAAATCTCTCTCTCTCTCTCTCTCTCTCTCTCTCTCTCTCTCTCTCTCTCTCTCTCTCTCCCTCTCTCTCTCCCTCCCTCCCTCCCTCCCTCCCTCTCTCTCTCTCTATGAATCGCGGATAGAATTGAAATAGAAATTTTTTCTTTTTCTTTTTTTTTTATCAACCTTATTCCAATTGTATTTCCAACTTTTAAATATCACAAGAAGTAAAAAGTGTTCTTTACTACCCGAAACATTTTTTATTATATATTATTCCATCTCTCTCTCTCTCTCTCTCTCTCTCTCTCTCTCTCTCTCTCTCTCTCTATGAATCGTGGATAGAATTAAAATAGAAATTTTTTCTTTTTGCTTTTTTTTTATCAACTTTATTCCAATTGTATTTCCAACTTTTAAATATTATAAGAAATAAAGTATTCTTTTTTATTATACATTAATAAATCATTTTTTATTATATATTATTCCATCTCTCTCTCTCTCTCTCTCTCTCTCACTCTCTGAATCGTGGATAGAATTGAAATAGAAATTTTTTCTTCTCCTTTTTTTTTTTATCAACCTTATTCCAACAATTGTATTTCCAACTTTTAAACATCACACAAGAAATAAAAAGTGTTCTTTACTACCCCTAAACATTATTTTACAATATATTATTATTCCAATTTCAAATTCCGCAACACCGAACGTTCCGCAACGTTCCGCTTAGAGAGATAATCTTGCTCGCAAACCACGATACAAAATAGCCGGCCAGTTTTTTTCCTTTCTTTTTTTTTCTCCTCTCTTCTTTCACAGGCGGCTCTTCCATAAGGCCCGCTCTCTCGAAGCTTCGATCTAGATCTAGTTTTGCGCCCTGCGCAAACTAAATCAGGGAGAGAATCTAGATAGATTCTGCGAGACGAGGAAACGGGAAGGTTGTACGATACAAAGAGACGCAGAGAGAGAGAGAGAGAGAGGGAGGGAGGTTTTCAATTCACGAGAGAAAATCTCGAATCTTTTCCCTTTTCGCCCGGGAAAAGACGACGCTTCGCATGGATTACTAGCGACATTTAAAAATCCTTGACCGGTATTGTATGTACACAATATATACACATACATATACACATACATATATATATATATATATACACACAGAGCCGCGTATATACTCGCCCGTTGGCCGTGCGCCCGAGCTGTAAGCTCGGTTGCATCGAATAAGGGGGCCGATAAAGTTGTATATAAAGTTATCAAACTTATCTCGGGACGGTCTCGAATAATCGTATCGATGTATGTACACGTTCGGTTTAATAATAAGATCCCGAAATTCCGTGATATACGCATTCCGATATACGCGCGAATCGAGGCCTTGGCCACGAATCGGTTCCTCGATCGGATCCCGTTTGTCCCGGCTACGTAAATCCGGATGATAATAATTTATCGGAAGACCCTTTTTTACACCCGTCCCGCTCCCAAACGCAATCTTTTTTCTTCTCCCTTCGTTCGTTGCGCGTTCCCTTCCGCGGCATCGAGTCGGCTCGGCCTCTCCTTTGCAAATTTTTCACTCTCCCACGTTCAACGTATACCCTTACTTGTTATTTTATTCCACCATATTTCCCTTCCTCTTCGTCCAACTAGATACACGTTAAATTTTTATCTCGCCTCCTAGG